GGCCTTCCTCGGGCAAGGTGAGGGGTTTGGATCTGGTTTAATATATAACATGTTAGAGATGGTCTTGAGACCTGATTGTGATTGAGGCTACTTTTGGCTTGAAGCTTTCCAGGTAGGGCAGTATATAGTACAGATAGGCATGTACGGTGTCTAGATATCGAGGTACAATCGCTATGCCCTAACATGTGGCGGGAGAGGCAGTTCGAGCGATATGCTGTAGAGATCGGTAGATGTTGTTGGATATATGAACAACGAAGACAACCTTACAAAGTGATGGAGAATAACAAACAAGAGTCTCCTCAGTATACCAAATTAAAATATCATCATAAGTTGGCTTGTGACCAAACTTCTGAAACTATATCATAAGAGTTAGAGGTTAGTAGTCTCTTTTCACATGACACCATGTCCTGCCTGACTACAAATCAGGGTTGCAATTGTTCTTCGAAGAGTCACGGTAAGTTGAATTGCATCAATTGCAGAGGATCTACCCAATAATTTCCGTTGATGGGGAACCCGAAATGTTAAATCTAACGTCTACTTCGACCGCGGTAGGTCCAGAGCAGCCGAAACCCTCCAAGAAGCCTGCAGAGCATTATTCCTCAGATAAGTCCATAGGTGTGCCTAACCATCACTCGTAGATTGATATCTTTTTTCTTTCTTGTTTTGCTAACTATAGTGGAATGTCGAATCTAGGTTCCCAGAGTCTAATAACCGCAGTTAATGGTTGTCGTCAGAATGATTATAATTACTTTTACTGTTACTCCCCGATCTCTCTAAAATCCTCACATATACGGTCGGTCCGAGTTAGTGTCGATTTCTGTTTCCAGGCTGGTGTAACAGGATCAATCAAGATCCTTTCTGTCCCCAGTGACTTTTCCGCACCATGGACGGGATGTGGGACTCATGAATTTGCAGCGCTCCATCCTCTTTTTGATCTTTCAAACACGAGGAGTGTTTCTCCCTTGGAACGATTATGCTGAGATCTCAGTTGTTATGAGGGGGAATTTATCTTCTGGGATTACCTGTCTTTATGTCTTACCGTTTGTGAATAATGATACGCCTGAGACATGCGTAAGTTATGAGGCTTTGGGGGAGGTTGATTATGAGGTGCCTCATGACCATCAAGTTATTGTTTTGTTCACAGCTTCTGTTCGTTTGTCATATGCATATGGTGGTATCGATGAGGTTGGACCGGTTCATGTATTTGCTGATCTTCAGTGATTTCGGTTAATATTGTTATAATCTAGATGTGCTTTTAGGACTAGGGACAGAATATAATATTTTAACTGTGGGTTAAATGGTTTGAAGGTGCTAGTGAATATGACGTATGACAGCTAGGTACCTAATATAAGTACCTACCTATGAACGGACGTGGATGTTATAAAAACTACATTAATTTGATGACATTTTGACATCGGGTAAGGTGTGGGGTATGAATATGCTGAACTCGCGGCATTGAATGCTGTACATGTTCCGAATACTCGAATACTCAACCGTATCTTGAGTTTTGAAATAGTATTTTTGAAAGTCGATACCCGGTGAATCTCCTGTCCCCGATAGTTTATAATTAACTATGACTTTACAAGCTTATATATATATGTCCGCTTGCCCAGCAATATAAATCCTTGAACCGATATAATAGACACATGTGCAGCTGTGATTGATGTCACTGTGCACTACATGGATACTCGTGTGATCTATCATATTCATGTCGGTTCGGATGAATAAACATCGGGATCCATGAGGGCAAAATTTCTTTTTTACCCCCGTCCATATGAGTAACCATCAGAATTAATAGGGATGGGGAAGATGCTTAGACGAGTGACGATACAATCCATAGGCTGGAGTATAGACGCCGAGGATGAAAGAACCTTCTTTTTTCTCTTCCGGGTGCAAGGAGACGTTACGTTTTACAAGACTTGTAAGGCTTTTTCAGCCCTAGACCAGGGTTTTCGTTTAGAATGTGCCTAGGATCCTAGGAATGTATACGTACTTAAGTACGTATGTGATTTGTTACGAGAGCCGCAAGAAGGCTATTGTAGAACCTTCTGAGCTAGTTGTGGCTGCAATGCATCGCACGGTACCACTCATCACAGTAGTACAAGGTAACCGTCTCTTTTCCAAGCCACCGTGCCATGTATGAATATAGACGCATATGTATGTCTGTAAGTATAGAGGCTGTAGGTGTTAAAATAATGTGATAGGAGAATTTATTCATGTAAAATGATCTAGCCCCGCGGGTGCAGATATGTGGAGATACATGCAACAGCTGCAGCGGGAACCTATTCAGGAACATTTCGGATTATCGATTCTTTTGAGAAACCAGGCACCAGTGATTTTAGATCCCGTTTAGCTGCACAATGACACAAGAATAGAATCAAAATCAAAATCAAAATAAATAAACAAAGTACGAGAGAAATAGAGGGGGAGGGGGAAGGGGAAGAATGGAGGAAGCCACAATAGCATGTCATGGGAAATAGGAGTTATAGACGGATGTTGCAATTGTGATAATAGTTCGTTCATCCCTGTTTGGTGTTGGCGCAGCTGCACGACGTTGAATCGGCGAAACGAAGATCAGTGCAGTGGACCCACACCAACTACACCAATTGCACCAGCCGCATGATCCTTTCTATGTAACCGAGAAAGAAGGCTCCTGGAAGGCCCGGAAGCATTCGAATCATCTGTTCCCTTGTCGTATATTGTTGCACTTCGTACTTGCTTACTTACTTACTCACTCACTCCCTTACAGTACTTGCCTACGTGGGGATCTTAATTAATTACGCCCTGCTCGATTAGCCTCGTTCCAATCGACATGGCTTTGCAATTGTTGTTTTTCAGGCACCCAGCTTTCGGGGCTGCTGCACATACCAGTTCGGTCATGGCGATAATTTACAAGTGACGCGAGATTCGCTTCGATCCAACAAGGACCTTGAAGGTATGAGGGGTCGGACAGGGCGTATTGTTTTGTAACACTGTTGGCTATACTAGAGGGCTCACGACATTAGGATGGAGTATAGTACTTGTGTATATACGTAGATACATACATACCAGGTAAGCCAATTGCTTTTCTCTTCCCTTTCCTTTTTCCTGGTAACATTAACTTCCCTCGGTTCTCTTTTCATAATCCGAGTGGATACGAATATTATATGTATCCTGTGTCCCACTGTCCTGTCCTGTCCTGTCGTGTGTTAATTAACATCCGGACGATTAATACCCTTTGACCTTTTATAAAATTTTAATTTTGATATTACATACGAACTCACTATCATTTATAATAATTATCAGCAGCGAACAGGAATCGAATCCAGGCACCGTTTCTTTCTTATCTGAACCCAAGCAGCCGCACAGGCTTGGGGTTTGGGGGTCAGCACTAATCGAACCCTTGTGCGAACCCACATCCACATCCGTTCCATCGACTCTAGAGCCCTTTCGGGCAGGTTTTCGACGAAGTCTCCAATTGAAAGTGGATCTGAAATATATTGCGACGACGAGCTAAAAAGAATTGTTTGCGATTTGAAACGGCTGTTGGGATTATATTAATTGTCGAGCAAGTCGAAATATTCGGAAATTTCAGAAGAGTTCACGAAGATATTGAATCCTGCACACGAGACTCGACTCGACTGATAAACCCTACCATATCATATTTCCGATCCCAGATCTCTCTTATTGCAGCCTTGTCCCCGTCAGCCGTATTGATACCGTTTGGTTCCCCACCAGTTAGCCAATTTGTATTCGGTACATTCCTTTTCAAGTGACCGAGCCAATCGCCAACGGTGGATAAGAGAGAAAGCCACCTCTTTTTTTAACCAGTTTTCCACATTTTGCAATCTTGAGGCTGCATAAGTTGGGGATGCAGCTGTGTCTGTGACCCACCCCATTAAAATTCGACGAAAGAAGGCCGAATAATATGGGAGTCCTCTGAATTCAAACTTTACCCGATATCAACTGGACAATACAGTAACTATACAGTGACTTATAGCTCGAGGGGGGAAAAGAGGACCCTTTCCAGGCTTCAACGGAGCAATTCTTCTTTTTAAAAAAGAAAAATAAATAAATAAAATTCTACGAGGACCGATCCGCTCCGAGAACGATTCTTATTTCCTCTTAGTTTTGATCTCTTAATGGGCCCTTTATCTGTTCCTTCTTCTATTCTTTTTCTTAGTTGTCTTTAATTTTGATTATATGCAGACATCTCGTTCCGGTATCTCGATAATCAAAATCGATCTTCGAGACCTGTTTGGATAATAAAAGCGAACACCTCCAGATATTCCCCTATTTTCGCTTTTCCCTCATGAATCCCGGGTACCAAATCATCATTCCGATCTAATATCGATATCTTTAATGTTCCTCGGCCCCTGTGAAACTCGCCTTGACGTTCCGGATCCGACGGCCGCGATAACAAACCACCCTTCGCTCTCCCCGGGCCAACTGGCGTTTTCAGGATGCCATGGCCTTGGAACAGGCCAAAGTCACCCTTTGGGGTCTCAGACTCCGAGGATGCGATTTCATCTGGGTCAACGACGATAGCATCGACATCGACGCAGGGGACATCGATATCTCCAAACTTGGATGAGGTCGTGAGCTCAAACACCGGAAGTAGTAATGGAGCTGGTCGCAATGGTGTTTCTATGACTAATAGAAATGTCGCTGGAGGTCGCCAAACTACAACGACAGCTGCGAGGGCGACAACACCAATGCCTGCGCCGAGTGCCTGGGCTCCTGGTTCTTCTACGAACGCGGTAAACGGTACTGTTCGGGCTAGTTCTTCTCTGGGGTTTAGCCATGATGCGGTCTCGCAGAGTAGAGGCCAGAATAGTAGAAGGAATTCACGCGATACTGCGAATACCACTAATAATTCAAATTCTGGAAGTGTCCGTCGTACCGCGTCAGTTATTCCCGAGGACCATACCGTCCAACCCGGGAACAGCGTCGACAGAAGTCCTCCGTCGAGTTCGTCTGGCACGCCGAACTCAAGGCCTATCAGAAGACCTTCATCTTCTCGAGATTCGGAATTTAGAAATACGCATTCTTCAGAAAATGTACTATCAAAAACCCAACCTTCCGTCGAATCTTTATCTTCAATGTCTTCTTCCTTACACTCGGATGTAAATAACATTAATCACACACATCACCACCACCATCATCCTCACCATGGCGGAAAACGTTCACTATCCGCTAGCTCGAGTTCTCAACTAAACATTTTTCATGGCCCGACATCGCCAGGTTTCCCCAACGGAAGAGCATTTTCACCAACCCCTTCAGTCGGTTCGATAACCCACCAAACTTCAATTACAAGATCTCAAAAGGCTATTATCCCACCGGGGTCAAGGCAGTCCAATGCAAGCGAGGAACAAGTGTTTGTATATGAGTTGCCTGAAAGTTATGAACAAGTCAATGGGTTAAATTCGCATGAAATTGAGGAGAGAGATTTAAGACATAAAGCTATCGTCGAGCTTAACCCTGCACCCGGGGCTGGTGGGAATGGGCATGGGAGGACGAGGTCAAATGTACAAAATAGGGAGATGATGTTGGAGGCGGAAGTTGCCAGGTTGAGAAAGGTTTGTGTTACCCCTCTCTTCAAATCCCTTGAAAAATTTGGATTTGTCGGTGTCGGGAGCTGATGTGGTACATTATTATTTCATTCTAGCTCTGCGAAAAGTATAAACGGAAGTCGATTAACAATACCTCATCGAGTTCGATCGGGTCGATGGATCATTTAATTGTTCCAGACATTGCAGCGGCAGCGGCGGGATCTTCAGAGGTATGCGTATACCTATTCATTTAGTAGTGATTCTAGTTCGAAGAGGATGGTTCTATATATGCTAACCTTCAAAAGGCCCACCGAGTCGTTCAAGTAATGAAAGTCGCAAACGAGCACCTTCAAAAGAAAATCGACGCTCGTGATGCCTTACTCGCAGATCGCCTCGCAGAACTAGAACAGATACACAATCGCCATGCTATCGAATTAGAACAACAGAAACAGGGGTACCAGGTTCACATACGGCAGCTTGCGGATCAGCATAGACGGAACTTAGATGGGGTTACCCAGAAAAATGTTGAAGAAGTCGTGGCATTGAAGAGGGGCATGATGGACACTGCTATCGTATTTGAAGGTCAAAGACGGGATGCGGAGAAGATCGCACTGCTACAGGCTGAAGTTGAAGGGCTGAAAGCTATGGAGAAAGTGAAGAATGATGGTCATATCGCTGTTCTTGAAGAGGTCAAGTTAAAAGCAGCGGATGATCTAGAGGCGGCAAAAAAGGCGTTTGAAGAGGCGGAGGAAAAGTGGGAAATTAAAACCGAGGAGATGCGGCGGGAGTTGTTCGAGGAAAAGAAGTTTGCGGATTGTACCTGCGGTTCTAAAGTTGGTAGCGATACCATCGAGGAACTGAAGCAGGAACACGAAACTGAGATCGCAGCTCTAAAAACTTCAATCCGTATCTTGGAAGGGTCCAGAGGTACAACTGTAGAACAACTTGAGGAGGATCAGAGGATATACCGGAAGGTTTCGGAGCTTGAATCATCCCTTGCGAGCAAAGTCAGGGCCTTAACGGCTGAACGTAAAACCTCTGAACGGCTAAGAGCGTCTTTAAGTGCGGTAGAAGAAGCAAAATCAGAGCTACAACTCCAGAAAGAAGCTTTAGATGCTAAATTACTGGAGACGAATACTGGTTCCGCCTTATCGACTGAGCAGGAGCGCCAAGCTATTGAAGAGAAGATTCGGCAAGAAACACTGGAAGAACACGCTCGCCTGAAAGAGGAATACGAGTCTGCTCTAGAAGTTGAAAGAGCTCGTGCTCTGCAGCTGGAGGAACAGCACGAATCAGAAAAACGAGTGTTCAACGATCAAGTTACAAAACTTCTCCAAGAACACGCCAAGGAAAAGGAACAAATAGACAGAGCCCACGCCTTGGCCCTCAGTGGTCTTGAGGACACCATAAAAGCACAAAATAATGCAGAGGTTATAACTCTTAAGGAAGAGTTAATGTCGAGAGCACGGTCCTTGGGGGAGGTAGAAGCGGAGCTCGTGGTCACTAGAAACGGAATCGACGATGCCTTGAAGCAACAACAAGTTATTCTGGAGAAGGAGAAAGAGACATTAATCGCTGAATACCAAGTGGTTATCAATGCCGGTGACAGACTTCGAGATCAGGAGAAGACAACTTTCCAGTCTGAGAAACAACGCTTAGAACAGTTACTCGTCGAGACTAAAGCCCAGTCCGATAGCATGTTAGATGAGAAGATCAAGTTCACTACTACAGAACTCGAAACTCGTCTGTTAGAAGCCCAACGGGAGCACCTGGTTGAAAAGCAAGCTCTATGCAAAACTTTCGAAGATGCTAAAGCCCAGTTGGTAGTTCAACAAAGCGCACTTGAGTTGAGGCTTCAAACCCAATTCCAAGAGGCCGAACAGCAGTTCCTTCTCAGGAGTGAATCGGAGAGGCAAATCGAGGCTACAAAGCTTCAAGACATGAAATCAGAGTTGGATAAGAGTTGTAGCAGCTACGAAGAAGAAGTCAAACGACTCATAGCAGAAAACAAAGCGACGAAAGACCGGGCGGCGGAAGTAGTGGCCGAGCTTCAAAGGCAATTAAAGGATGACGAAGAAAATAAACAACAACTGCTAGACCGAGTCGCAAAAGCAGAGTCGGAGAAAGAGACCACTGAGTCAGAGCTAGCCAGCCTGACAGTTCGCTTCGAAGAGTCCCACACCGCGATGAAGCGAGCAGAAGCACAATTCACATCTCTGACTGAGGAAAAGCAAGCTATCAAGTCAACTTTAGAAGACGAGAAAAGAATTGCGAATGATTCAATCGCTGATCTTCGAATCCAGCTACAAGCTCGTGAAAAGCTTACGAATGAGATGCACATCAAACATCAACAGGAAACCGAGGATCTCCAGTTCCGGATACGAACAACCCAAACCAAGCTCGACATTGATAGCGTGGAGATCGAATCACTCAAGGAGACAATAAGGGAAAAGGAAAACACTTTCAATACCATGCGAGATGAGAAGAATAGCTCTGGGACTTTGTGGGTGGAAGAAAAACGTACGCTGGTGAAGAAACACGATCAAGTCATCGAAGGCCACCTGAATACAATTTCAAAACTTGAGGATACGATCAACAATATGCGGGCTCGGACAACCGAAGATGCAAGGGCTGCCGAAACAAAAGCGGCTGAACAACAAGGCCTTGTAATCCAGTGGATGTCCAACTCAAATCGGAAGACCGACGAAGTCCAACGCCTCGAACGTGCTTTGAAAGAGGCTAATGGGAAGACTGAGAGTTTCAAACTTGACATAAAAGCCCTTATCAACGACATAAAGCAATACGAGAAAGAATCCAAAGACAGAAGGGCTGAGATCAAGTCACTATCGAAGGAGCTAAAGAACTCACAAGAGGAGATTTTTTCTCTGAAGTCTCAAGTGGAATCCTCATCTGGCTCATCCTATCGCTATGTACGACAAATTGCCGACTTGGAATCAAAAATCCAAGCTCTTGCTAAAGAGATCCAGGACTCCCGGTCCGAAACCTCTGCTCACAAGCGGGCAGTTGCAAAGCGTGATTCTACTATCAAGCAGCTAGAGGATACCCTCCAACAAAGAGGTGGTATCCGGAATGGGCGAGCATCTCCAGGCCCTAGCTCTGCCTTGACAGCCATGGAGAACGGAATCGTACCTTCCACTGCTAATGTTTCATCTCTTCAACGTGATCTTCGAGACTCTAGGGCAGAAATCACCCGATTGAATGAGAAATTAGAGATGTACGAAACAGAATACCGGCATTTCTTTGAAGACCATGAGAAGCTAAAGGTGGAGCATGAAGAAGGACAGAAGAATATGAAAGCAAAACTTGACACATATATTCCAGAGCTAGAACAGCTAAGAAAGGGGAATAGGGACCTGGAATTAAGATTACAGAGTGCCGAGTTAAGGCTAGCAGCTTCAGGAGGGTTGGTTAGAAGAGGTTTAGGAGATGAAGCACCAACAATGAGGTCACAAAGCAGTATGAGTTATTTACGGCGTGGAGAAATCAGCATTGGGAGTTTGGATGTGTGATTTATTTTGTTTAAAATTTTGTCCTTTTATGTTTTATTGTTCCATTTGGATGGCTCATTTTTTGAGTATGCATATATGATTGCATTTGGCGTATTTGTTTAGCATTTTTATGGGATACATCCTGAGATTTATAGCTATGATGAGTATCGGGGTATCAATGCATTTCTCTCACCCCCTCGAAGCTTCTTGGGCCTCGCCGTGGGCATTGGGAAGGTTCAAGTTTTATTTCCAGTGTCTTCGAGATATCAATATTTTATAGCAGGCGAAAAAACCTTTACTATAGCTTCAGTTTCGAGAACTACTCTTCTCCAACAACATCGATCCCGCTATCTCTATTCTGTAATAAATTAAAGAACATGGATGCCATGGATCCAAATAATTCACAAGACCAAAGCGAACAAGAGCAAGTACCAGAAATCCCACTCGCAGCCGAAGAGGAAGAATCGGAAAACAACATGGAAGATCAACCAGAGGGTTCCGAATCTGTCCAAGAAGACGAAGACGAGGAGATCCTAGCACAAGCACCTGTTAAGGAGGAAATTAAACCGAAGGAGAAGAAAGGAAAGGGCAGACCCAAAAATTCAGCTGGAAAGTCTAAAGAGCCACCATCGAAGAAACGAAAGCGATCTGAAGATGTTAAGAATGAAAAAGAAAACCAAAGTACTAATGAAGCCAAAAAGGAAGGTATCCTTGAAGATGGCGAGCCCAAAACCGGCAAAGGTAGTGGCAGGGGCCGTAAAAAGGGAGAATCAGCAGAGGCTTGGACCGAAGATGTTGACAAAATTCTAATCGATATCATCAAAAAACATACGGGTGGTACTGCAGAGGGAATACCTTGGAAAGAAACGTTGGCTGACTTCCAAGAAGCCTGCCCGGAGATCCAGAAGACCTTGAAGGCTTTACAAATGCGCTGGCAGAATCATCTAAAACCATTCTTTATTGAGCTGACTGAAGAACAAGTAAGTTGATTCTGGGTACGAGTTTTTAGATATTCATGCACTAATCATAATGAATCGTGACCTAGACGAATTCTTTCAAACAAGCTGTGAAGGATATTAATGGAAGTGAGAAAAATGCTGCTATTGCTTGGCGTTATAAGATTCTCACGAATTCGAACCATGAATTGAACAAAGGGGCTGTTACAAAGTTATTGAAGAACCTGGGTCTTAGCTAAATTAAGGACTTAATATCCTAACGAGTTGATCAGTGCTGACCTATTACATCAATGTTAATGTCGGACCTTTAGTGATAGACCGATAGCTAAGAGCATGATTCGAGATTCTACATCTTGAAGAGTTTTGGGGGCTAAGCATGTTACGAAGCCCATTCATCTACATTATCCTTGCTCTAAGTTTGTATTATGGAATAATATCGTCTTGTTGGAAATATTAGCAGTTGTTTTGGAATTCTGCTTTTGGTATTTGCGAATTATCCTTTGACTTGAATTCAAATGTTATACCATAGCCGCGCAACCCCCCATCTCTCATGTTCTAAACAATTTAGGATCTATGCAGTAGCCTTCCAAGCCTTTCTCATACCAACTGCACTGCTAATGCAACCTGCAAACCCCATAACACCATCGCTAAAGGCACTAAACCCTTTAACCTTCAAAGCGGCAAGCGGGAAAATAATATCCGCTGCATTCCCAATAACGTTAAGCCCAGTATTGAACTGTTGTTCCTCTAGACCCTTAACCACCGAAAGAGCAGCATCATTGACAGATACTTGGGTCGCGGGTATCGGCGAATCTGGTGGTGTCGGTGGTAGCTCCTGCATTTTGTGCAGTATTTGTACCTTCTCGTTCTCGTTCTCGTTTATTGATTCAACCTGATGGCTCGTAGATTCGATAGTTGCCTGCTCCACGGTAGGGAAAATCGAGTTATATCTTCCTAGCCTTCTTCGAAGCCTCATAACCTTGACTAATCCTCCCACTATCGATGCCACTAATGCATATAACCAAAAGTGAAATGCCAGTTTATCCACTACTCCCTTGTACGGAATTCCCATAATTCCCGCCTCAGGTAAGTACCCCAAAGAGTCCGCGATACCAAATCCAGTATACCCGAGTCCTTCTATCAATTCTAATATGTATCCCATAAAGTCATTATTGATCCTCTGTCTGCCTTCGCGGATGAGGTTTATCGTGACGTTGATTTGGCCAATATTGTTGAAACAACGCAGGAGACGTCTCGTCAGTCCGAATTGACGACGGATACCAGCTGCTGCGGTAGAAGTAGTGGGGGTGTGTAGGTTTTTCAGGAGCATTATATGCGCTATAAGACGGGAGGTGTATTGTATTGTGCGAACGATTTTGTCGAGGCCATCTAACTCGTTGTTTAGTATGTTTCTTATGATAAATGCTTAAGCGCTGAGAAATATGCGATGGTACATACTTGCGCTTTGAAGGAGTTTGACAACTCTGTTTATTGTCTTCCCGTATAAAACCGCCTTTGGAAAAACCAGTTGCCCCGCTGATGCCATCGCCGCAGCCTCAGAGTTGACGATGGCCTTGATAGAGGTTGATAATTCCAGATCTTTTGAAGGAGCAAGCACATGTCCGGATCCAATTATACCCAACCCCGTGATAGTAATACCATCAGTTTGGTGTTTCTTTATTTCATCGTCCGGAGTACTGCCCTCCAACACTGGTGTTCTTGGGGGTGTCTGTTGGTCCATTTTAAACCTGGTCGCACGACTCAAAGCTTTAATTTATTGATATATATGGCTTAATTTTTGCGTTGATAGCCCAAAATACAACCTGTCGCAATCGACGCCAAAGGTGATATCAGATAGAAGTGGATACGAAGGCTTCCCAACTTTGAAAAAAAAAAGTTTTAGAGTAAAATAATTATAAAGAGGGTGGAAAAAAAAATAATAATAAGAAGAAGGCAGGAGTATAGAAGGTCGAAGTAGTCTTCACCACTCTTCCGGTCGCCTGTCGTTAAACGACAAGGACAGACGACCGAAAAGAGGAAATGGGAACTTTCACAAAAGAGCCGGGCCATCCGAGGCACATTATATACCAGAGCCGTAGGACGGATGAATTTTCTTGTTTTCAGCGGTGCGCGCGCAAGATCGATGACACTAGCACTAGTATAGTACAACGTTTGGTCATTTCGGCCGGCCATTGGAATGGGAAAGGGAGAAGAAAAAAAAACTTATTTGATTTGGCCACGCCGGGTACCTCGGTATACACGATGCCGAGTAGTAAATTATAGAGTCTTAGACAACAGCCTCTCAAACGGACCAAACTTTCTGGGGGAAAGTCAATGTTGTAGGTTGTATGTTGTAAACCTAAGCTACCTTGCATTTGCGTGGCTAACGATACATGGTCTGTGCATGGTATCCTTCCTTGATATGCGCGGGAAGGAAAAAAAAAAAAAAAGTTGCGTCACATCCATAGTCTAGTGGATCCCGTGGAGAAATCGAGCCAACCCGTGGGCGATTCGATACCGTTTCAGTGGTAGACGACTTCAAGCTTCCAGAGAATCGATGCTACTGTTGCCACGGTTCTTTTCTTGCGCCCGATCTGGCCGCTTGCTCGATTCGGCAGGGCGGATACGACGGTTACACCAACACATCTTTTTACAACACTGCGAAAGAGTTGCACAAATAGTGGAGACGAGACGAACAGTACCGTGATAGGATGATATTACATAAGTTTGTATAGTACGTATAGTCTAGTAATTAAAACAGTAAAATGGGGGAAATATATGCGTAAGAGTACATGCGATGAGCACATTTACAATAGCCACTGTCTGGGCGAGCTGTCAAAGACCTCATCCTTGACGGGCTCTGCAGAGCTCAAGCTCTCAGGCTTCTTACCCTTGATATCCTTTTTCTTAACGATAGCGAGCCCCGCAATGGCGATAATAAGGCCTTGGATGATAAGGATCACAACCAAAGTAACCAATGCCCCAACAGCTCCCGCAACCGGAGCACTGAGCCCATGGTGGGTGGTGTGAGCAAGTGGATGAGAGTCATTGGATGCGGTGGCACAGACACCCCCTTTGTTCCCACAAGTATGGCACCATTGCTCCGTGGTGGTGATTGAGAAAGTTCGCATTTCTTTTGCGAAAACTTCCCAGCTTAATTCGGTTTCCTCTTGCCCAAACAGTGGGTAGGCGGTCAGCTCACCACCATTGGCAGTGGACCCGTTATGGAATAAGAAACGAACGTTGATATCCTTTGCGTCTGGGAAAGATCCAACGGCTTCGTTGGTAAAGAGCTCGAAAGCCATGGAAGAGCCATAATCGGGAAGCCCGTAGAAATTGGCATCGGCAGCCGGAAGTTGGGCTAGCCCGAAGAACGAGAGAAAGGTGCCGTATGCGTTGAATTGAATACCGAGCTTAGGCTTGCCACCCTTGGAATTTACAATGCTTTCTAAATGCGAGAGAACATCTGCAGCGAAGGTTGCGCCCGCGATACCGCGGACAGGCTCAGAAGCATTGAAGGCGAGGTTCCATTGCTGTTTATCGGCAAGGGTACGCAGTTGGAGGAAAGCTTTATCGGTAAGGAGCTCAGGAGAAGAAATGGTTTGATTGTGGGTCAGGGCGTAGTTGACAACATCGTAGACTTTAAGCTACTAGTTAGAACTATGCACGGGTAAAAATAAAGAGAAAAACAATGGATGACTTACTGGCATAAGCGTTGGTAAAATCTGATTGTTCGGAAGTAAAAGTATCAATCCATACCCCTTCCAGAGACTGATAGAACTCTTTACTCCCTTTCTTCAACTCTTTAAACTCTTTACTATCCGAAAATGCCTTGGAGCTCTTAATTGCGGCATCACACCCGGAAGTTCCTTGCAACCAGGTCGCATCCTCCTTGTTCACCCCGTTGTTCATAGTATGGATGGGAATCAACTGATATCCACCATTAACACTAGAAACGACGCTTCCATTCCTCAAAATCTCTGTCGAAAGTGCGCCAACAGCCGGATACAATCCCTGCAAAAAGGCCTGTGCAGAGTTCAACAGCACAGCATCGTCCGTTGTGCTAACGTGGATCTGCGAGTTGACGACCTCGTCCGAGGCCACACCAAAGACCTTTTGAGGAGCTAAGGGAGCGACATAGCGATTGCGAAAATACTCCCCCGAGGCGAGGATCTGGCTGTACCCTAGATTTGTGAGTTTGGTGGGCGGATGGGACTTGTCCGTTCGGTCACCATGGCGCGATAGGATATAGACTCCGAGGATGGTCTCCCCAGCTTGGGCAGCACTAATGCTGACCCCGAACGCAAGGGCGAGGAGATTGCACTTCATCGTATGGAATAAATATACGATTTTTAGGATTAGAGCACAATGAACTGTTGAAGATAGTGCACCATCTACCAGGAAGCTTGTATTATATATAACTGAAAATTTAAAACTTCATGGAATGATTTTTATGCAGGTTATACAATTGCTGTTCCATGTGTAATTTTACCCTCGGGTTCTCCTCAAGACCTGGTTCTCTAAAAAATTTAAAAACTTTGATATAAAAATTTCCTAGAAAGGATACAGTCACCATGGTCTCTCAGAAATTCTGCCTAATCATAAATGCGAAACACCCATCGATGTCAACATGTCTCGCCTTTTCTAAATTCCTGGGCCCGCTACCTTACAACATAGGATACCCGCATGGTAGGCGAAGGGCAAACTAGAGGAGTTAGCCAAATAAGCCAATAGCTCGGGCTGGCAAAAGAATAAAAACTTTAAAAAAACCCACTCAAGACAATTCAAAAACGACAAAACAAAGGAGAGGGAGAGGGAAAAAAAATTAAATATGAAAAATGGGGAAAAGGAAAAACAAATTTATAGTCCCAGGGCCACCACCGGACCGATCCAAGCCGCTAGAATATTTAGCGCAGTATGCGGTATAAACGATCACTAAAATACAACAGTGGATACGTGTTGTAGGTGTATCAAGATTCGATCACGATTGCTAGGGAAATTAAATGGCACATATTTGGGCACCTCTGATTGCAAAGAACAATGGTCATCATTAGATATCGGATGTAAACACAAGGTTTGGTTTTGATTATTAAAAAATACAAAATATTAAGATATCAAGTAACCCCAGGAAGAATCCTGGACATATACAAGAAGCTTGAAGTGAAATGAAACCTTCTCCGACTATCCCATTTTATTGTTGTTCCTGGATCAAATCCCATCCTAGTGACGTCTCTAGTTGGCCGGACCTTGGGTGAATAAGGCCGTTATTGAATGTCTACTGAGAGCAGTTACTCTGAGACATCACGCACAGGCAACTTTTCAGTAAGGCTGGCGACAGTTTCCCTTGCTCCTCCAATCCCGGCCAAACCATTTGCAAGGCCGGCAACTGGGCCCTTGGCCATCTTATCCTTAACATCTTTGACAGGGTCAGCCGCTACTCCAGCAGGCATCTTATCCTTGACACCCTTGACAGCGCCAGCTGCTCCTCCGTCGAGGGCTTCTTTCTCAGCACGACGGCCGACCTTGCCACCACCGAGGCCACCAGTAACGCCGCCTAGGAGATCTGTAACGGCACCGAGACCACCCAACCCGCCCAATTGGCGCTTCTTTTGGGCCGAGACATCCTCTCCGGCTTCGGGAATAACATCTTCGATGAACTCAAGTTCTTCGATCTGTTCAGGGATTTCGGTATCGTCATCGTGGAAATCTTGCTTTGGAATAACTTGCGTGAGTCCAGCGACGCGGTTGACGCTGGGGCCGCCGACGCTGCTACCGATGTTGCCGACGGCGTTGGTGATTCCGCCGAGGTCGCCAACAGGGGCGGCGAAGGCTGGGGCGAAGGCACCGGCGGCGGCGAGGAAAAGGAGTGAATATTGCATTTTGATTGTTTGGAAGGTAATAGAAATGATTTCTTTTAAAACGATAGTGGTTTTTGTTTATTGAAGCGAGTGTGTTCTGATTGTTTTGAAGACTGAATGATTGATATTCTGAAAAAATACAAGAAATCTTCTGTCAAGTATCGTTCCTTATATACTTATTTGCCTATAGTACCTGAGAGAGAATATTGATATATTGAGATATGATAAAGCGTACATGCATTTCATTGCAAGGAGAAGCATAACTGAGAGAATCATGACATAACCCGGATTTGGCGAGCTTAGACACAGGGAGATCAGAGATACCTCCTGTAGGAACTGCCGCCAAAGGTGTTTGGTGAATGTCAGGAATCTTAAAGATCAACCAAATGAAATGTTTCTAAATAACGTATAACGAGGTTTCATATTATGGGGTAATGGAATCGAAAATCTGGAAAATCATGACTGCAAACATCGCATTCTCAGAAAACAAGCTTCTCAATTTCCACTGGACTGGGTGGTTTTTCTGACTTTAACGTTGACACGACTGGATTAGGGTCAAGATTTTCTTTTTGAGTATTTCTGGAATTGGTATTGACGGACTAGTCGACTTACATTCAATCTCAAAACAGGAACCCCTTGGTTTTTACAGGGTTAGAATTCCCGTCCCTCGATTCGCTCCGTTGGTCGGTATGTGCATCATCCCTTGCATCGCTAAATTATCTAAATACTGGATTTTGAATATTCCAACCGGAGGAATCTTCTGGAATAAGGAGTTTCTTAAGAAGTGTTTCATGAAAACGGAAAATCAAGGTTCTATTAATATAGATTTATCATACACATCTAGGAACAAGTTGGAGAACTAATTTCATAGGACTGTGGTCAGTGCAGTGATCATCGGGGAGTATATGGCTGTGCATGTGGCATTATGGTGGTATCAACACGCATACGCCACCACAACTTTTCGGTGCGATGACTGTTATCACCAAAACTATTCATCGTGATTGTGAATCAAATAATTGTCCAAAGAAGCTGATTTTAGGCTCAATCGAACGGCTAGATCAATTTGTACATTTAGTGAGCCATGCTTGAAAGGCATACAAATTTTGGCGCTGAAAATAGTCACGCGGTTCGGCATGGTGGAGTTCTAGAAAGAGCCAACGAACTTGATCCTGATCCTGCTTAATTATATTAATTGCGATCAAATTTTGAGGGTGAGCATACCATGAACAATTAGAAGCTATATACTAAGTATATATACAGAAGCAATATTTTGAAACAACTTGTCATTAATCGATTAATTTTTCTTTTGCCATTTTGAAGCTTTTCATAATCAATAGCATGCAATCCATGCATATGCAATGCGCAAAGAATATGACAAAATACAACAGCGTCAACGCATTTATCTGTGGATAAAATCCACAGGATTGTCTTCCATTATCTCTCACTTCTTCGACCATTATCAATCCAGCCAGCATTAAACTTAAAACATGAAGAAAGCAAAAGCAACACTAATCAGAGCAATCATCAAATTCACCGTCGATATCCGGCCGGAGTTGCTGGTCGCCGGTGGCGGTGGCGTTACAGTGGCATTCGAGGATCGGGTGGGAGAAGGAGTAACAGTTGAAATCTCAGCAGTCTCAACTGAAGTTAACGATGGCTCATAAGTCGTGGTGGTTTCTTCTGGGATTTCACTGGTAGTAATGGTTAAGGTGGTGGTTTCCTCGACGGTTGAGGTCTCTTCGGTTGTTGTTGGCTCCGGCTCCGGCTCCTGTGTGGTAGTAGTGGTAGGTTCTGGTTCCTCTGTTGTCTCGGTCTCAAACTCAGAAGTAGAGGAGGTGGTGGTGGTTGAGATTGTGCTCGTGAGAGTAATAGTGAAAGACCTAGTGTTTCCTACGGTCGCATCGCCAGAGCAGATGGGTGCGCCGCGAGCGTTCGTTGTACAGATTGGTTGGTCTGCGGGACTAATAGACGCGAAATGTCAGATATAACAGATTATACATACAACTTAAGTAGCTACATAGAGTGGATGAGAACATACCAAGCTAAGGTCGGAGATGGGGCGGGTTCGCCGTTATCGACGCATGTGGGTGGGGACCCTGTGCAAATCCGGCCTACCCGGCAGCATCCCGCATTGGCACCAGATCCAGCGCAGTAGTATCCGGGGTTACAGCCATATGCTTATGGAAAAGAGGAAATGGTTAGTTACGGTTTAGTAAAAGGCGAAGAGGAGAGGAGGGGCTGGAAACACATACAGAAGACGCCGTCTTCAAAACAGCATACGCCAGCGCAAAAGATTTGACTAGAATTTCTTGCACATTCCCTAGAGCCGATGGGACAAACGCTTGCTTGTCTCTTAATAAGGCCATCTGCGATTGAGTACCCAATCACAGCTCCGTCTTGAAGAGGTTCAACGGCGCGACGGTGCTGAACGTTTAACCCGAAGACCCCGTCGAGAGTGACAAGGATAATTCCAAGAAATATCATCTTGAGCGACATCACTATGTATATAAAGGGCAGAAAAGTTTAAAATCAAGAAGATTTCCTTTAAAGTAAAGATTGAGCCCGTAGGGTACTAGTAAGATAGCTGAAATGATGATCCTAAATTTTCAGTATGAGAAGGCTACATGAATCTCAAAAATATTTATTCACTTCAGTCCATCCGCGACGATGCATCCTTATATACATCGACCTACGAGGTATCACTGAATATAATTTTAGTCATAGAGAACACCCAGAGGGATGACACAGAGTTGGAGAATACCCGCGCGCGCAAGCTAGAAAAATTTTTTTTAGAGCCTCAAGCTGCAGATTATCATTCTCTACGTATAGTATCGTGGGGCTCCACACAATGTCGGCCCCACAGCCTCACAGGCTGCAGCATAATGTTGGACAGGTTTTCGGGCCCTCGTTCTTCATAGGCAAAATGTATTGGCTGATTCTGCAGGACTCGAAGGCGAAAATACCACATATAGATAAAGATCGGTGGACCGGGGCCCTGTCTTTCTACTCCAACATTCCGTGTGATATTTTTGGCCAGCTGCCAAGCAAGGCAGTTACACGAAAGGATGGGAAAGTTTGGTGAATTCAGTGCGATTCAGGTGCATGAAACATGAACAGAGTGGTCCACAAAATTCAAGAAAAAAGGAACAAGGTGACTGTGCATGTGGATTCTGCATGGTTGTTTCCCATAACGTTAGTACTTGCCGGGTACCCAGGCTGATATTCGGTACCTGGAGCCTTGCCGAAGATCAAGCACAGGTATTGGCGAAATGTTGACTTTGTGACTACAAACAGGGAACCTTCGAAGTGCGATCGGGAAGCAAGTGCGATTTTCGAGGCTGCGATTCCAAATATTCAGCCTGGACACTGGCGGACGAATAAGAATCGAGGTTTGTACCTTGTCGGTGGAGTAGATACCAGCCGCAAACCCGTTGGATACCTTGAACACAAGTCGTGACGTCTATGAGAAGCTAGAAGTCTTGGGAACACACCTAAGAGGTATATGGAAAAGCCTTTTTGTCGGATTTTTCGACTGAGCAACGGCCCGGCAAATTCCATTCCGTTCGGAGGCTCTATATCTGTACCTCGAATGGGGCTGTGCATGAACGAGTGAACCATACCCGGAGCTCCATTGTTTTTTAGAGAGCTTATCCATGTAGACTAACTGAGGCTGTTGATATAGATCTCCGTGTGGTAGGTTGTGCGTTGTTTGGTGTTGAAGGTCAAACGCGAACTGAAGGATTTCAAGATCCCGCGATAGCTGCCATTGCGCAAGATATTGATAAATGAATACCAGACTTCTTTCTTCATGTTTTACCTACTGAAGCAGTTACCTAGTGACTTGTATCTTCTTCAGTATTTACTGTCGCCTTGTACTCACTAACGGGTGCAAATGCGGACTTGCAATTGACCTAATTTGACTTCGTTATGTAATTTGAATTTGTATGCAATTGAAAGAGAAGTTTCTTCAACATCTTTGAATCAGCATCGCCAATTCAATTACCCTTTACCAGCCAACAGCCAACAGTTAACAGGCTAACATATTATGGCGCCACAATGTCCGCCCTCAGAGCCACTCGACGTCTTCTGACCGCGGCAGTTCCCGGTAGAACATCCAGACCATCATCATTATCATCGTCATCATCATCATTAATACTAACCACTCATAACCGTACCCGTCTCCTCCATCTCAAAGACCGAACCACCCTCAGAACCTTCAACTCAACCGCCTCCCTTCAAAAAGTCACAAAACGTGAAGACTCACACGAAGAAAAAGACAATCAACCATCAATTTCGTCCCAATTCGAAAAAAAATCCAATACTAGATCCACCGCTGCAAAATCTCGCCTCCGTCAGGCCGCCAATGTCGGTGACCGTAACAAAAACCCCACCGTGGGGTCCAACGACGACGGCAAACTCCCCGCACAAATATGTACCGCATACTGCACTGCTGAAAAGTACAACCTTATACAATGTAATTCTTTACTCAAGTCTGGAGGTTACGTTCCAGATCCTCTATCGACCGGTCTAGGAGAGGAGGTTATCCATCTACGACTCCCATTGCCACCTCAGGCCTACAGACAGTTTCCGAAACTAGGTGCCGATAGTTATGGTGATATATTTATATTCCCTTCCGGGAATATCGTGTCTTGGGGGATCCCCGAAGCGGTCATTACTGCTGTTGCAGCGTTGATCAGACCCGCGGCGGAGAATCCACATTCGACCACAGAGACTGAGACGTTGGAATTCGTGGAAGATCCCAATCGGCATACTAGCTTCCTACGCGGAGATATCATAATGATTGGCACGGGGATTAATAAAAAACTGGACGATGAACATCATCATCCACTTATCAACATCGGCAGCATTGATTCAATCGGCACAACATTAAATGAGCGAAAAGTTGTATGGCAAGAAGACGAAGAAGAAGGTTCACGGCATCAGAATACTCCTACAGTTCTTGCGAAAATTGCGTTTTCGTCCGGAATGGCGAGGTCGACGAAGTTGGCGGTTTTGGAAGAGATGTTGGAGAATTATATCGAGTCGACATCAATGATACCTGAGTTGTTAAGCCAAGGATCGCGACTACCATTCACAAGAAGCTTTATCCTTCGTAAAACAGGCGAATTGTTGAGTTTCAGAGCCAGATTGAATCTCTACTCTGAATTGACCGATAACTTGCCGGATATATTCTGGGATTCGAGGAAAGAGCTTGGGTTGGAAGGTTATTATGAAAGCATCGGAAGAGAATTGGACGTCGGGGTTAGGATTCGCAAGTTGAACGAAAAGCTTGATTATGCGAGCGAGATGGCAGCTGTACTGAGAGAAAGGTTGAGCGAACGGCATGGTTTAGTTTTGGAGTGGATGTAAGTCTTCTTTTACCCTATTCAAAGGAACTCGTTTACATGAATGCGAATACTAAGTAATATGGCTTGTATAGGATCATAATCCTCATTACAATCGAAGTTGGTTTCGAGATCCTACATCTCTGGAAAGATAGCAAAACGGAACAACGGTGGGAGGAAGAGATGGCCCAAGAGTATCCTCCCCAGCGACAAGGCTACCCTCCTCCTGCTCCTCCATCACCCCAACAGCACCCGCAATATCCAGGATACCCTCGGTACGACCACCATCAACATCATTTACACCGACACCCACCATACCAACATCACCCAGGGTACCAATCATCTTATCCTCCAATACCACAAACCCCATATCAACAACAACTTAGTTATCATACGCCCCCCGCTAATGAACCCTTAAGAAAAATGGACGATGTCGATACAGCTATAGCATTATTGGATGTTATAATCTCAAGGATTACTTCAGAGGAACGGGAGAGAGGAAGGAAGGAAAGACAAACGAAACAAGAAGAGGATGATGAGTAAAGGTCCTCTATAGGAGCTAGTAGTTGCATACTATGTAATCTAAGAGTCGTTTTGTAAGATATATGATGGCCGGGTGTTAAAATACCAAAATCTCCTATTAACATCAGCAAGGCCTATTTCTCAAGATCAAAATATTGTCTTAAAACTCTCCGTCGGGTTGGGCCTCCGAGTCCGAGTCCGAGGTTACACCAAGTCACGGTTTACTAGAGATCTACGGTGCTCCCATGGGCGAAAAGCAAAATTTTGCAATTAATTCACGCCTAAGATAACACCGCAAGGCTAGCTTGTTTACAACTGTAATTCATGTGATTAGACGGTAGAACACTCGTGGGGGCGCGCGTAATATATCACGTAATGTATTCTAAAATCCTAGATGATATCAATCTGCACCGGCTGTCTAGCCTTTATCGTACATGTGATCCTAAAATGAAAAGAAATAAAACACCCCCAAAAAGTCAACGAGTGGACGGACCAGGCGTCCAGAATCAATTGGTACCAAAAGCGTCGAGCAGATTGGTAGGTAGGTACTAGGTAGGTCGTGGAGTCATTAATACTCATTACAAACGTTCACCTCTAGAGAAACAGAGAAGAAGAAGAAAAGTGTCCTAGAGCCGCCCTTGTCTCGTCGCCAGACTCCTCAACTGTGGAGCCGCCCCCTTCACAACAAACTCTCACCAAGAGCACATCTAACCAAGCTACATCCAGTTCTTACAGTCTCCGCGACCTGCCAAGTATCTGGTCCACCATCCTGTGCCAAAATGCTGGGGTTGACTTCCACGAGATCCATGGCGACCAGTCTGCCTGTCTGGTGAACAGCTTCGCAGATGAAGTCACCCTCACGGAGGGTCAGACCGCCTCTAACGGGTGTGCCGGTGGATGGAGCGCTAAAAAAAGTATTACACTCGTTAGCACAGCGTTTTAAAGCATATTTAGGGTGATATTAGAGAAACGCACTGTGCAGGATCGCAAGCATCGACATCAAAGCTCAAATGAATGGGAGTATCATCTCCAATATACTCCAAAGCCATATCAACCACTCGCCCGATTCCGTAACGATCGATATCGTGCATTGAGAAGGCCTTGATCTTGTTTTCTCTCAGAATCTTCTTCTCGCCTGAATCTACATCTCGGAGACCGATATACACCAGCTTATCAACTGGAATGCGGTCTTCCTCCTTAAGCCAGCCGAATATATCGTGCGAACACAGACCAGTGAGGAAAGCAACGGGCATGCCGTGTATATTTCCAGAAGGAGAAGATTTGTATGTGTTAATGTCAGCATGGGCGTCAACCCAGATTACAGCGAGAGGCTTGTTAAGTCTCTCCCTAATCGCTTTGGAAACACCAGAGATACTGCCGATGGCGATCGAATGGTCACCACCGAGAGTCAAGACGAGTCTTCCCTGGGAAGCGTGTTCGTATGTCTGAGTGTGAAGTTTGTGGTTGACGTTTGAGCAGCTCTGAGGGCGCTTCATGTTATCGACTGTGGGGTCATCGGAGAGAATTTCGGTTTCATAGGAGTGGATGGTATTATCGAAGTGGATTGTGTATCCTAGCTCTGACTTAACCTCGTTGAGAAGACCGGATTCAATCATGGCCTTTGGGCCTCCGTCAACACCGGCTTTGGGCTGTTTAGGTTAAGATGCACGGTTAGTATGCATGACGTTGAGCCTTTTGCAGTTAGTTAGGGGAGCAGCTTGATTTACCTGACCACCACTGAAGGCAACGGCAACGACACCGAGTTCATTTTCAGAAGTAAGGAATTTGGATGACACTGGAGTAGAAGACATATTGATGATGAGTAAAGTGCAATCGACTTGGTAAAATAATATAAGGGAATGTTGTGAAGGAGAGGCGATATGTACTTGTTCTTGTTGGTGTATCGAAGAGGAATTCAATGGCAACTGGCAACTGGGGGTTGGCGGTGAATTATATATTTTTTGGAGACGGACGTCTGGAACCTGGAAACAGAGTTCACATCAGCACCCAAACAGTCACCATGCTTGCATTGCATTGCAGATTCTGATCTCGAAGACAGCGTTGCAGTCAAGTTGCATATACAAAACAGGAAAGCCGCCGGACACATCAGCTGCAGCGCTCCTGACATAAGATCTGATAAATTTTTATCAGGGCTAGCAAGGGTGGAAAATTTTTATCAGATCTAATCTGAAGAAAATTAAAAAGAGAAACCAGGGAAGAGTCGGGAAAAGGCCGCATGTAGCCATTCAAAGTGTTAATTACGCTTTCGCAGGTTTGGTGACATCTTTGATGCTTGGTGAAGCGACAGCCGAAGTCCAGCTGCCACTGTTGGCTTAGGCATCCGGAAATGGGTTCTTCCAACCCCGACCTGGCCTGGCATGCAGGCTGCAGAAGCGGGTCGCAGGAATCGCCCCCATGCAGCGGAGAATAGCTATTACTGGGCAGCATCATAGACACATGAGCAGATCACTGTGTGATACCGTGGGGGAAATGTTCGCCTTGTCACATTCTTGGAACGTGCAGAATTGCCATTGCAGTTGCGTTTGCGATTTTCGTGACACCAATCGGACATATATAATACAATCAAGAGATCAGGACTTACGGCTTGTATCGGTACAAGGTTGACTCGGAGATTGTTGGTATCTTGGGGGGTTAGAAGGGAATTATAAGGCTTTTTAAATTCGGGATATATAGTAGGTAGGTATAAGGCTGGATTGCTCGCAAGTACTTTGTACTTTCAAGTCGAATATCGATCGGGATATGGAATTCGAATTTGAAGAAGAAGATATGAATTCCATTTATCTTCGAAGGGAAACCCGTCCAGCTTAAATAGTCGTTCCCGTCATGACCTGGCCTGCTAACATCATTCGTGGCCGCGGAATCTGACTCGAATTCCTTATCTGTTAACCGTCACTACCCATCTGCGGTACGAAAAGGAAAAAGAGCTCGCATTGTCCTTCTTCCAAGCCCCTTTCAAGAAAGGCTGCAGGCATCACTGCATCGATTCGGAGTGTGGTGGAAAAGGTTTCAATGGTATTCGGTTGAAGTTGTTTTTAGGGGAAGAGCGAGTACTTGTATCCCACAGATATGAAGCAAGAATCGCGTACACTTGAACTTAGGGGAAATGGAGACCGGGAGCTTTATAACAAGTGACCGACTAGGAAGATAATGTGTGTCAACGATTGAGTTAGTACGTAAGAGCTCCGGCTGACTAGGGTCAGATGATCGATGATAGGGCCCTTTAGTCCAAGGAAGTTACTTGAGAGACTTTTTTTTGTCTTTCCTTCTGGGGTTCAGCGAGAAAAGACAGGATATGGTATGCATTTCGTTATCACAATCCCTGGCTGCTTAGGTGGTTAGGCCCAGTAGGGTACGTAGTTTCACACAGGTACCAGGTGTGAGCTGCCGCAGATACAGCCGCCGAAAGGGAAGGTCGATGCCGTGTATTTTGCAATGGAGAGATGGAGCTAGAGCCTTGAGCGGTTAGTATTTAGCTGGGCTGCATGAGATGAGATGAGATATCGATGCGAGTTCTAACATCTCGATGTTCGGTTCGATCAGGATGCATTGGTGTCCCATTATAATTATTAATTATACGATAATGGTACCACAGAGCCAATTGAAGAGAACGGTGTATTCGACAATGCGCCCATTCGTTAAATTATAGATGAATGAATGAAGGAGTAAGCTGAAGTAGGTATCATGAATCCAGCCGATGAATGAATGAATGAAAATGGGAAGAGAGGTTAGCCTAAGCCTGGGAGCTGTTGACTATGCTATCCTGTGCCCAATCCCTGCTGGAACAACCCGACAACACATTTTCGACCACAGTCCGCCTCTGGTCAGGCCCTCCACCTTTATTCTTGCCATTAAACGCTTGTGAATCTAATCGGTTACACTGCGCTGGATGGGAGGCGAGGAGCAATATCGAGCACATAAGCTTTGTTACCTCTGAAATAAAGTTGCCTGATAGCACCTTCCACTCTCTCTTTTTTATCATCAAGCTACATTTTCGGATTAAAATATTCTTCTTCGGCACCAGATTTCTTTTACCAATATACATACACCATTATGAATCATGGAGGACGGCGCCTCCCAGCCAGGGACACCAGCCGTCGAGATTCTACGTCCCGAGTTACCAACTGGCGACAGTCACGAAAATCATATCTTTAATACAAATCCAGTCCTCTCCCTGGCTGACATCTTCCGTCACATTACTGCTAAAGCTGCAGGGATAGATATCAACCATTCCGACCCGGATACCCTTCCTGATGGTTGGTTACAGGCATCGTCTAGTATCTTCAAAGCCGATGTTGATAACAAGTACCTCGAGCCATTCGAGTACTCCGGCCACAAAATCTCAGTGTTAAATCTCGTGTACGCTCTGCTTACCTATGGCCTACAACCAAACATCCTTGCCCTGGAATTGCTGAAGAAGACGTTGAAGAGTCGATCGGTCAGAGAGTTGATGAGGGCGTATTTCAGGATGAATGGGAAGCCAATGAATGACCAAGATTTACAACTTCAGTTGAAGATAAATCATACGTGGGAAGATGTTGTAGACGGTCTGTTTGAAGTCGTTGCATTTAGACACGAGATGAGAATATGGGCGAGGAGATACTTCGCTGGACTCCTTGTGCCGAGTAAGCTACCTTCTTTCCCTTGCTTAAACATGAGATATCAATGATTTGAACGCTCTTTTTGCCAGTATAAAAATATTTATTCAGTCTTTTGTATCAATTTCGTAAACTGACTTTGATGGTTTTAGTGGTGGCAGCGAAGGGCACACCGTCAAGCAATGGGACTGCAACCGGTAATAGGACACAGGCGGCCTTACGGGAGCTGGTAATTCACCCACCCCCTTCACGTAGCAATAACGAATTAAAGGACCAGGAGAATCATAGGCTAATGATTTGGCGGCGATATACAGTGTTTGAAACGGGATGGCCATATGACGGTCATAGGACGGGTCTGGAACCGGTTTTGGCCAAAGGATGTCGTCCCACCACCTCGAACCGAGCTATGGGACTACGGTGCCTTAAAGGCTTGTCATATCATACCTCAAGGTTCACCGGAGAGTCTGAATCTACGAGAACTCCTTATAAACTTCTCGGGCGACTCGTTTATAGTGGATATGATCAATCATACGAGCAACGCACTCATGCTGACGACGCAGTTCCACAGCTCGTTTCGAAGGTTCGAGTGGTCTATTGAAGCCAAGCTTGTGGACGAGTCTAAGAATGATAACGACAATTGGATTTATGTTTTTAGAAAGTTCAACCCTTATCTACCGAGAGCTTTGGACCAGCATGCTGACGGGGAGGAGGTATTCTTTGGGGGGAAAGATGGGAATATACCGAGCCCGAACCCAGAACTACTGAATGTTTATACGGCATTGGCAAAAGTTGCGAATGCATCCGGAGCAGCGGAAGCGATAGATCTAATCTTACGGGACGAAGAAGAGATAAGAGAGAGAGGTCTAACAGGGAGAACGTGGGGGAAAGTTGGGCAGAACTATCTTGTTCGGCAGCTAGAGCGGCTGCCCACCGAATGAATTTAATTTAATTATTCAATTTGTAAATTTACCTTAAAGTTGTTAAGTTTATAAAAAAAAAAATACTTAAATATAATATCAGAACTCATTACTTTCTAGATTTCTCCGATCGATATCAATCAAGTCTAACCGTTTTTTTTGTCCTGTAACCGATCTTCGAGTTATTCGGGCTAATGGTATACTAATATTAAGATTACTTGGTTAATTGGCGGTGGATGTTTTGTATTGTATTGCACAGCCTCAACTAAGCATCCAACCGCCGCGCCGTTGCAACCACGCCTGGTCGTTCCAAGGAACATTCGAAACCCACGAGACCCCTGCCACACCATTCTATTTGAGTCGTATTATACTAATTGCCTGTATACTTCTGGTGGAGTCCTCAAGTGGGTGCTGGGTCTTCAATTTAAAGATCCTTCAGCAGCCGGGTTATTACTTATAACTATTGCACGCAGCACAGTGACAGATCTGACACCCCGTTCCTGACCTGTCCGCCCCAGCCCGGCCGGTGTCACTTCGCTCCTTCTTCCCCCCCTTACTCCCACTTCATATCAACTTCAACCTCAACCTCAACCTCAACCTCATTGTGGTCATCATCTTACAACCTCAACCTCCCTCGAACTCGCATCTTACATATACACTCCCTGATCGCCGCCTGGTAGGACAACTGTAACACTAAACATGTCAAACATGCAATGCTTCATTCGACAGCTCTAACGTCAGCTTCAAGTACTGGTACTTCCTGCCCGATGCCCCCCGCTAACCACTTACGCTACGACTGGTAATACAATATCGACCACTACTACTCCCCACTAGTCTAAAACCGCATCGATGACGAGCACAACATATGCTGCCAACGGCTTCCACGAGCCCTTTACCACGCCCCAAAAACAAAAACGCTACAGTACATCGACCACAGCTTCTGTTGGCACGAATACCGAAAAACCCGATGCGGCTCTTCGTGCTGCTACTTTGAGCTTTTCTCCTCCCTTCAGCCGCCAACCTTCTGATGAAGCATCGTCATCAGCTGCTACCTCCAAGACAAACGGTACCGCTTTGATCGCTGCGCGAGTCATCGGTACCGGCAATTCTTCGCCAAGATCAGTAGCGCAGAACCCCTCCGACCATAGAAGAAGTCTCTCTAGGAACTCCAGTTTTGACCTGCTGGCCTCTTCTAATGTCCATGGCGGATCGCTGAAAGCCGCCCAGTTGAGTGTCAGCAGGTCTCCTTCCTCTGGATCCGGCGCCGTGTCGCGTGCGAAATCTTACAACGAACTTGGCCCTGCATCCCTCAAATCCGAACGGTCCTATTCTGAAGATGCATCTTCCGTGTATACACCCATCGACGGTTCCCTAATTGCTGCGAAGCTGAGCGCTGCAAGAAAGGATAGTACGAAGGGACTGCCCGTTCAGACGGCCGTTGCTTCGAAGAGGAACGACATATCACCACCGAGCTTACTTGCTGCCGGACTCGCTGTTTCAAGGTCTACTACACCGGGTACTATGGCGAATACCCGACCAGAGCGCGACCAGGAACCGGATATCCTGCCCCCCGCAGGGTCTGTCAATGAGGCGAAGAAGAAGTTTCTACAGCAAATTGATGCGGCTGAAGGTGGGCTCGACAATCCCGTTCGTGGCCGGAGGAGCCTCGAAGGGCCTATGAAGTCGAAAAATTCGGGGACTTTTTTTGATACGCCCCCGACCAGTACAGTCAACATATCGCCGCTTTCTGCAGCGAAGCTAGCTGTTCAGCATTCTGGAAGAAAGCCCGGCTCGGCCGGGCCGGGTCCCAAAGTATCGAAACCTCGACAGCCTTCTCCCATAAAGAAAGAAATCAAGCGTGATATTACTCCGACAACAGCTCCGGCTGTTGCCCAGGCCCCCACGCCAGTCGCCCCACCACCGAAGCCTGCGATCTTGAAGAAGCCGACAATACAAAACATCAAAATTACACAGACACCTCTCTCATCGACAATTCCTACATCCCCCAAGCCTGCACCCAAACCCGTGGCTCTGAAGAAGCTCACTACCCAAGAAACAGGCACACCCCCTCCACAGCCGATAAAACCGCTGCCGAGAAAGACGCGACCTCCTAACAGAACTAGGTCATCAAATTCCGATGCTGCTTCTCCAACATCAATTAGTCCGAAGACGACTACTCCAGTGGAAACGCTGCTATCCCCGAAGGCTCCTATAATAGAGGAACCTACAGAGAAAGCGACAGCACCTCCTCCACCCCTTCCTCGGGGCACAAAACCCCCTGCCGAAACTCCTAAGCCAGTTGAGCCAGCGCCTACTCGGCGGGACCCTCGCTTGATGGGCTTCAATACTGTCAAGCTACCTCCACCAACCAACAACCAGTCAATTGTCGAACCAACCAAACCATCGCCCGTGAAGGCAAGCCCCACACCGCAATCACCTGTAAGACAGGTCGTGCCTTCCCTTCCTCCGAAGCCTACATCACCTATCAAAGTATTCGAGCACGCACGAGCAGCAGAAGTACCCATCAAGAAACCAAAGCCTGAGTTACCCAGGTCAAAGACGTTTGTAGATTCGATTGTTGCACGACAACCACAATCCTTATATAATGTTAAAGAGAAGAATGTATCCTCATCCACCGTTTCGTTGCTGCCACCACCTACTGCGACCGCGACTTACAAAATCCCATCCACGTCTAAATCCGCCCAGCCACTGCGACCGAACCTCACCGGACCGGATTCGACGCGCCCCTCGGTGCGTCCAACACCTAGTTGGCGGGATGATACATATGATGTTCTTCCTGTGGAAGGGGTTATTCGACCTTCTCACACCGGGGACTCGCTCCATCACGCTATCCTTGCATCTTCGCTAGCATCCTCCCGCGCGGTGTCCCCTGTGAAATCCAACCCTATCCCACTGCCACCTCGCCCTAGTGGCGGATTGCGCACTACGATGCGAAGTCCAGAAAAATCGCAAGACCGAGATAGTTCCCCACAGAAAAAGAGCCATAATATCCTCGGCAAGAAGCACCCGAACAAACATAATGAAGGAGCCCGAAAACGATGGCGAGAATTCGTCACTGAGAAAGAAAGGAAGCGATACGAGGGCCTCTGGGCCGCAAACCGTGGATTGTACCTCACCGAAAAGATGTTCGAGGGTAGACCGGATGCTCAGGGGAAGAAACTACACCAGGATGCCGTATGTGCTATTGTAGTGAAGGATCTGTGGGCTCGCAGCAGGTTGCCTGTTGATATTTTGGAACAGGTGTGGGAGCTCGTAGATAGAGGCCCTAAACCGAAGTGGTGGCTGACGAGGGACGAATTTATCATGGGGCTTTGGTTGATCGATCAGAGCTTGAAAGGGAGGAAGTTACCTGGAAAGGTTCAAGATGGGACATGGGAGAGCGTAAGGAGGATGGGGATCGTGCTCAAGCCATATGAGGAATTGGGCTTGAAAGAGAAGAAGGAGAAGAAAGTAAAGAAACGGTAGTTCCATTTCTTTCTAGAAATACTTCTCATGTAGAATATACTCGTCTTGAGGCGATCTGCCCGTATTTGAGCGTCGGTTTGGCAGGCAAGTTCATGGATGGAAAAAACGGTTTGGATTGTTACTCACGCGATAGATAGCGAACCTTGTGATTCTTTGGATATATTCTCCTGGATAATACTTTACTATGATAGTAGAATAATAATTAATATTTCTTGATCAAAATTTTTTTTTCGAAAAGCAACTATCTCAAGATCCGTCTTTGATTTAGTTTGGTGAAGTTAAAGTTGAAGGTGGTGATTTACACTGCCGCACTTGAACCAGAAGCCGCAGCTGCCGCAATGGGGCATATGCACGTTGACAAGCGAATATATTTTTTTGCGACAGCTTCGATCTGATCTTTAAATTCTCTACACAACTTCAACCAACTTAGATCTTGCTATATTACTTACTACCACCGCCACCATTCACTTACCCACCATGACCACAGACTTCGCCTCTCTCGGGGTCAAACCATGGCTTGTCACATCTCTCGGGGCCATGGCGATAAAGCGCCCGACGCCCATTCAAGCAGCTTGTATTCCTGAAATCCTCAAAGGTACGTTGGCTAGAACCTTTCACACGACTTCAGTAGATATATCAACTGACGGTGACACTTCAATAGGGAAAAATTGTATTGGTGGATCGCGTACAGGTTCCGGAAAAACAGTAGCCTTTGCAGTTCCAATCCTTCAAATGTGGGCTCAAGACCCGTTCGGTGTCTTTGCGCTCATCCTCACGCCTACGAGGTACGTCTCCAACTCCACTACACTTCCACCAACAGAATGAAAAGAAGAAGGGAAAAACAACAAAAGGAAGCCTCTAGCTAATATAATCATATGTGGTACATAGAGAACTAGCGCTCCAACTAGCCGAACAATTCACCGCCCTCGGTTCCCCCCAAAACCTCAAACTCAGTCTCATAATCGGCGGCGTCGACATGCGCACCCAAGCAATCTCCCTCTCTCAAAAGCCACACGTCGTAATCGCCACCCCTGGCCGACTAGCAGACCACATCCGATCTTCGGGCGCCGACACAATCGCCGGTTTACGTCGCGTAAGAGTCGTGGTGATGGACGAAGCAGATCGATTACTCGATGAAGGATTCGCAGAGGAACTGGTAGAATGTTTAAGCGTCGTTCCCGACCAATTTGGGGACAAAACCAAGGGAATACCCGCTAGACAGACTTTATTGTTTACAGCTACTGTAACGGAAAGTGTTAGAGCTTTGAAGGAAGGTGAAGGTCGTGCTAGGGAGAAAGGTGGGAGGGAGGTATTCATCAGTGAGATCGATACTGATTCTCTCGCCGTGCCACCAACATTACACCAAACCTATATATTTAAACCGTCGACAGTTCATCTGGCTTTCTTGCATACTTTACTTTCCACACCGGGGAATATCAAAAAATCGACGATAATATTTACGAATAAAAAGACTACGGCGCAGTTACTTTCTCATACGTTAAAGCCGTTGGGGCACAGAGTTACGCCATTGCATTCTGACTTATCGCAACGAGAACGGACGGATTCGTTGGGGAGATTTAGAGCTGGTGCTGCGAGGATACTTATTGCTACGGATGTGGCGGGTAGAGGTCTTGATATTCCTGAAGTGGAGTTGGTGATAAATTTTGATGTTCCAAGGGATCCGGATGATTATATTCATAGGATCGGAAGAACAGCTAGAGCTGGGAAGAAAGGTGAAAGTTTGACATTTGTGGATGAGAAGGATGTGCTATTGATTAAGGCTATTGAAGAAAGGGTTGGGAGGGAGATGGTGGAGTATAAGGAGGAGGAAGGTGTTAGTTTGGAAGGGAGAGTGGTAAGGGAGGAGTTGAAGAAGGTCAGTGAGGCGAAGAGGGTGGCGATGTTGAATATTGAAGAAGGCAGAGATGAGAAGGGAAGGAAGAAAGGAGGGAAGAGACGACTGGAGACTGGCGAGGAGGGCAGGGGGAAGAGGGTGCGGTAGACTCTGTATAAGTCTTGAAGCTTTCAGGGCCTCCATCACCATCATCACCCCCACGGACTTAGCGTGTAGAGCCCAATTTTGGATTGGAGTTTTTAGCGTGTGTATAAAAGTTTTTGTCGTCTATATATAAGGTATTGTATTATTGTAGAATAGATAATGGCGTTTGGAAGGTATACAATATCATTCGCATCATCATCGTCGTCGTCGTCGTCGTCGTCGTCGTCGTATCTAAAACTCTATACAGAATTCATATAATGATAGCTAATTCGCTCACTCCGAGACGAGGAATATTCTTTATACCCAGACGCCGGTAATATGAAAAAGATACCACGAATCCTTGATGGAAACCGGTACCATTTACTTGCTTTCCAAGCCATCCGCTACCTTCTCTGTCACGATATCCTTTTCATCCCCCTTTTGCGTCCCCTCTTCTTCTTCCTCATCACTCTCGCCTCCAATCTGCAACATCTCTAACTCCTGTGGCGTAATTTCTTTCGGCATTTGGACTTCCTTCTTGACTTCCTCAATCTCGGTTTCTTCTTCCTCCTCTTTCTCTGCATTTCCATCCAAGCTCGTTTTAAATTCCTCCCCTGCATTCCCTTCCTTTAACACCAAAGGAATATCCACACTCTCCAAAACTAATACTTCACTAACCACATCCCCTTCCTTTGGTAAAGCCCAATCGGGTAGGGGTGTCTCATACGACCACTTCCCCTCCACACAATTATACTTTTTCGCATGCAAGTATATTCCCAATTCATGAGCTCCAGGATCAGTATACAGCGGCGTATCGCATATACTGCACGTCTCGCCCGACATTCTCTCAGCCTTTCGCTTTTCATAATCCGCTCTAATTAATAAATCTCTATTAGTCCATCCCGTTCGGAAATTATGGTAATGTGCGTGGAAACATACACCAACTCATCATGATAAGCCACCGCTTCCGCAACTTCTTCTTTCCCCATTCTCGACAATCTAGTAATGATATCCTCATCATCACCCTCCCCACCAACCCCTAAATTCGGGCCGAAAACCTTTCTGTTACAATAAATCGGATCATTCGCAATCGGATGGCCTAAGAATTGCAAATGAACTCGGATTTGATGTGTTCTCCCGGTGAATGGTAGGCATTGTACCACACTATAACCCTTTGTGGGGTTATATGACCGTCGGCGGAAGAGGGTTTTGGCGTGTTTGCCGTTGGCTTTTACACGATTTAGACCAAGCTTTGGGGAGATTGCTAGGATAGGTTGTTCGACTACTACATCGCCTCTATAATTTACCCGGTTAGTTATAGGTTTTGATATATACTGGGGTAGAAAGGATAGGGGGGGTTTGTTTAGAACATACTCTGGGAATTCGCCTTTAACCATAGCTACGTACTCCTTTTTGATAGTACGAGTCTGTAGCTGTAACATCATACTCTTTGAGGCTTCTTTGGTCTTTGCGATGAACATTAGTCCGGACGTAAGCCTATCCAAGCGGTTACACGCTATCTCAACCGCCACAATTAGTCTTTTCTTCCTTTTCTTTGATATAAAGGAATTCCTATAGAGAACATACGCATAGGATTCCACCCCCCTCTTTCAAACCTCATGATCTCCACAACACTGTTATAATGATACCTCCCGGCAGGGTGAACAGGCATCCCGGCAGGTTTGTTAATAACAATCATATCATCTGTTTCACAGACTATTGTTACCGGTTTATCGGTGACGGGAGGTTCATGGCGGTGAAGAGTGTGGGTTACTATATCCCCGTTTCGAATGATTTGATCGAGTGAATGAGTAGGGACTCCGTTGATTGATATCATTCCTGTCAAGACGGCGTTTTTCTATATCATTCTCAATCCATCTGGACGAAATTAGTAAATCGGTTCCTTTTTTAAAAAAATTAATTTTTTTGCAAAATATAATATTTTACTATATGAGGTATTCGAGCAATCCGAATTAAAAAAATTTGTTGAAGGAACTCACGGACATAATACTCTTGAGGACGATCTCTAAACTCCGTTCCATATATTTCAAAAATGGTTTTATTCCGCCATCGTTCTTTACAGAAGGTATTATAGGTGTAATGGTAGGGTTTCACACGTCTCATCCCGCCCTCGAAGTACCATGGTGGAATCGATGGGTTCGCCGGAGTTATAGCTACAGCTGGAGGCTGAGTGGTGGATTCGGACTCCGGTGGGGTGGCAGCAGCAGCAGCCATTTTGTATAGCTGTAGAGCGAGTGCGGGGGGTTGTCGGACGAGCAGCGACAGGGTGGGGTTGCGGGGGAAGGTTAACAGTTTGGGTGGAATAGAAACAGGCGGTGAATATCGATACCAGATTGGAGGATCTGTATCTTTTCCCTGAAGGCCCGTTACTGCTTTGGTTGATGTATTGGTTAATATAAGAGAGTGAGAGAGAGTGTGTGTGGATAGAGTATTGATATGATGTTAATATATGACTCGATTCTTAAGATCTCAAGTGGAAGGGATTTTTTGTTGTTGCGCCGACCAAAATGCAACATTTTACTTCTTTTTTTTTTTTGGTCAAGTCGACCTGCGATGCCCTTGCAGTGCAGTTGCTGTGGAGAAACGACAGCCGAGGTTCAATTCTCATTCCTGGCCTGGTCTGGTCCTGGGTATCGATACCGTTATATAAGTTACACCGAGGCCTCTCTAAGCTATCTCTCTCTGCTCGAAAAGAAAATTTGGTAAAGTTATCATACGGAAATCCCACTTATAGCTCTTATTCTGCTTTAAGACATCCTGAACACCCGGTATTCATTGCGTTCAGGTTTACGTTTGGCTGCAGCTGCAATAATCGATATCACCAAAGTCACCATGGCGTTAAAAGCGCGCTTGCGCCAGCACTACAAGTATTTCCTGAACAACTTCCAAACGCGATGGTCTGATAACGATCAATACGGGTACTGCCTCCTTCCTCCTTGATGTCTTATCCCAATAAGTATTGTTTCACTACCACTTAGTCAAGAAGCATATATATACAAAAGAGAAGAAAAAAGCAGCACATTAATATACCGGTACTAATATAAACCCATCTTAAATATCATTTTTTCTACTTAACAGCCACGTAAATAATGCCATCTACTACCACTACTACGACACAATCATAAACCAATACCTCACCACAAAATGCTCCTTAGTCCCCACGAAATCCGCATCAATAGGACTTTGCGTCCATTCGTCAAGCGATTACTTCAAACCCGTCGAGTTTCCGAATACGCTAGATCTAGCACTTGCTGTCACAAAACTGGGGAAATCGAGTGTTACGTATGAAATCGGGGTGTTCGAGTCCGGGAAGGATGAGGTTTGCGCTGTGGGGAAGTTTGTACACGTCTTTGTGGATAGTGAGGGGAGGAGACCGGTGGGGATTCAAGGAGACATTAGAAGAGGGTTGGGGGAGTTGCTTGTTGATCATGAGAAGGGAAATGGGGCGAAGTTATAGATATCATTCTTATTCTTCATGAATTCAGGATAGTCTAGTCTAGCTTATGGCTTTTGCTGTTCTCACGAAGGGTAGTGTTCCTTTTCTTCTTGTTCTTCTTGTTCTTCTTGTTCTTCTTCCTTTTGTATTAATGTGGGACGCTTTTTTCTTTTTGATCTCATTTCGAACATTGGAATAGTCTTCTATTAGCGGATAGTGTAGGATAAATGTCTAAGGGTTCGCCCTTTTTTTTGAGGAATACAAAGGTATCGAGGTATGTGTGTGGTGACAGTAGTAAGACTTCCCATCCGGACGAAAAGAGAAAAAAAAAGGGTAAAAAAAGTGACCCTTGGAGGAATGTGAGTGTGAGTGCGTGTGTCAATCCGAATCCTCGAGCCTCGAGCCTCAAGACCAGGAATTGTGTGCCGGAGTTCCCAATTATATAAGAAAATGCGTAAGAGTAATAAAAAGGAAAAAAAGCTGAACAAGATGGGAACGATACAAAGCCGTGACAAAGACACCGTGGGAAAAATGTACACGAGAGAGAGAGGTTTTAGGTGGGAGGAGGAGGGTGGGAGGAAAGGCGTAATGGTATTTCGTAAATAAAGGTCGGGTACATGAGAAAAACGGGAAAAAAACGACTTAAGCAAAGCGATATGCTTATACGTCGGTGGTGACTCTGCCCTTTGGATTTGTGACCTTGACACCGAGAGCCTTGGCCTTGGCGACGATTTCGATCCTCTTTCTCGAGCTGACGGCGTGGGAGATCCTAGAACAATTATATTAGTATGAGTATCAAGGACTATATTGAATTTACTGTTGTCGGTGAAAGGGACATACTCGGCAGCGAAGGTGTGGTTGTGCATGAGAAGGAGATCAACATCGTTGACGTTGTGGACAAGGAAAGCCTTGTGGCCGGAAGGCGTCATGTGTCTGGTCTTCTTGTTGGATCCGTAACCGATCTATTCACCCAAAGATTCCGTATATTAGCGTCCTATTCCTCTCTTCTCAGATCGTTGCATAATTTTCCATCACAATAGAAGACCTTGGATCAAGCTCCGTAGTCTCTCTCCTTGCGTTCCTTCTCTTCCCTAGAATAGAATCGGTAGGTAGTGTACCTTTGGCATAGCGGCCTGTCCCTTGAACCGTCTTCGGACACGGTTATCGATACCCTTTGGTTTTCTCCATGAAGCGTCGACGCACTTGAAGCGGTCCGACTGGTGTCGGTTGAACCTCTTCTTGTCTGTATAGTCCCAATTTCAATCCGTCAGCATTTCTGTTCTCCTTTGGTCATAATCCCAATTCTCCCGTATTTCCATCTATTCAAGATTTCCAAATCTAGCTCCTTCCCTCCCTCTCTTTTCCGCCTCTTTGCTTCCATCCAGTTCTTGTCGGGAGTGTGCTACATACGCTTCTTGACGATTGGGACGTGCTTGACGGTAGTCATCTTTAAGAACAAAAAATTGAGCCGTTAGCCTTGTTTGATTCGGTTTTATGGAATTTCAAAAGGTCGATGCGATCTCAAAAATGTCGAGAGGTATGGTAATACCTTGAATTATATTCTATTTCTTCTGGTCGGAGGAGAAGGGTGTCGATGGTTTTGCTGGGCGGGATTGGTCGTGATATGCTGGGTGTCGATTTGGGAGGCGGAAATAGAATTTCGTTGTGGACCAGGCACTTTCTGGGCCACCACACGCAAATTTTGGGTCTTGGCACGGATGAGGGTTTTGAGCCCTCGTCTGGGAAGATATCCACATCCGGAAGGTTGGGCTTAGACAAACGCTCCGGTTTCAACGTCAAGACAACACACGACTCTTTCATCTTTCAACACACCTCCAATCATATCCAGAGCCAGGATTTTATACATTTTCAACTCGATGAAACAGCAGTATTACACATAATATTAGATAAAGAAAAATAATGTGTGTGTGAAAGTGGAGATCGAATACTGTACTAAATTATTACTATAATGCACTATCAAGGTATCATAATAATAATAGAAGGAAAGGAAAGGGAATGAACTTTTTATAACAACGTGCAACATAACAGGAAGAATTAGGAGCCGCACCGAAGGGACCTCGAAAGCCAGAAAATCATACACTCTTGCACCGCTCATGCCCTCCCTTCCCAAATGCACAAATTGAAACTACGAAACGGTAACCCAGAATGAAGAAGATGGACCAAGAATAGGTCGTTAACAAGTGAATAATAGCGATGTTAGGAAATGGTTGTTTTTCACTGGGAAACCGACCGTCGTCGTTTCAGGATATCAAAGACAACGAGCAGGGAGACGGAGCGGTAGAACGGAGAAAATCAAAACCAACAAGCATGAAAAGAATGCTTTTCTAGTACTACGAATTTTGGATAATTGATAATAATATCACACAATGAATAAAAAGGGGAATAAGGGGAAACACAAATGCATTTCGAAGAACATGACACTGGGCGTTAAAAACAGGATCGAGGTTCTTTTTTTTATCCTGCGTCCAACATAAAATATCATTCATACCGAGAAAAAAAAAAAAAAGGAACAGCAGACAACCCCTGATTCGCCTTTTGTGTAGTAAATGTGACTAAACAAAAAGATAAAAGGAAGAAAGAGATGTGGCCGAATGATAGGAGGAAGAGCTGATACGAAAGTGTACACTGTCACGACAATATACAAGGGACGTGCAGTGATGCCTTTGCAAGCCCAGTAGAAGGGAGCATGGACAGGGAGTTGGCGAGCCGTCAGTTTTAAAAAGAAGAGGGTGCGCTTTTGAGGTTATCATTATGTGAACAGGGAATGCGAATTTAGAATGATGTAACGGGGGTGGTATTAGACAAAGGCGTATCCAGACGTCTAAGCCTTTCCATTGGTACCGCGACCCCTCTTGACAGTGGACCAGCCTTCTTCGTCTTCAAGCTGCTTAGGAGTTTGGTCGCTAGGAAGGGAGACCTTAGGGGTAGCCTTGGCTGGTTGTTTTAGCTCTTCCTTGGTTTCGGTAGATTCTTCGGGGTCAAGCTCAGCTGGATTGATGTCGTCAGTGTTATTAGTAGCTGAGGCCCGTCGGAGAAGGTCAAAGCTGCGTGTGGCACTTGGAGTTTCGGGTTCTCCCTCTCCCCGAGCTTTCTTCTCTGCCTTTTCAGCCTTGGCGGCTTGAGCGGCAGCTTTCTTCTCTTCCTTCACTTTTTCATCCTTTGCTTTTCGTTCGGCGGTCTGCTTAGCTTTCTTTTCCTCTATTTCTTTCTCTCGGGCGCTGGTATCAATAGGGCGGGCAGCACCGAAGGGGTTTGCCTTGGCATCAGAATGGGATGCTGGCTGGTTGGCGTCAACTGGTAGAGCCTCACTTCTCTTCTTCAACTCAAGCTTTGGTCGGGTGTGGGGTGCACCGGGGCTTGGAGGTGGGACATAGCTTCCCTTCGGGCCGGAGGGTGGGTGAGCCCCCTTTGGTGGGTGAGCAGGAGAGGGTGGAGGGAGGGTTGGTGTTTGTGGTTGCGCCTTGTATTGCTCCTTCAGTTGTTCTTCTGGAATATCGGGTTTGGCTCCTCGGCGCCATTGAGTATCCTTCTCGGCGGCAGTGGGAACACGCTCTGGTGCTGGAGGTCTGTTGTACTCTCGTCGGGGGCGCTCAGTTCTCTCCGAACGCTCCTCGCCTTGGAGAGATGGCTGCCTTTCCCGGTCGAAAGGATTAACAGCGGGGGACCGTCTCCTGTCTCCACGGTCATGTCGCGGCGGGCGTCCTGATTCGGATTGTGTATCTGTTGGTGTTGGTGGTGGAAGAGGTCCCTTTCGCTCCCAGTTGTTGTAATCTCTGAACTTGCCATCGCCTTCATTGTGATGGCCGTATCCGCTGCCACGGCGGGAGAAATTGTCACCGCCAGACTCGCTGGCGTTATCGTTGTATCTACTGTTATTACGTCTCATGGGAGGGGCTTCAGCTGGTGGAAGAGGTCCAGTGCGGCGCCAGGTATCAACATTTGTGCGATCATCCGCTCGATCCTTTGCTATAGGTGTTTTATATTGCATATTAGCATTCGCTCCATGGTGTCCTTGGATTTTTGAAGGGTTTAAGCAACTTACGAGGATCAGCAACGCTGATTCTGACATTACGTTGACGAATTATTCCGTTGTTGAGGTCAAGGGCTTTCTTGAGGCCATCCAAGGTGTGAAATTCGACATAGCCGAATCCCTTAGGGCGGTCGCCAATTCTGTCACGAACAAGTCTCACATTTGAAATATCGCATTGAGCAAAGTATTCGGAGATGTCATCTTCGCTAGCATCGAAAGAGAGATTTCCGACGTGAGCTGTGAATGGTGGCTTAGTTGGCAGAGGAAGTTCGGGGCGACGAGAATACCCATCTTCGAGATTCAGGAAATTAGAGACCGGCCGTGACACAAAAAAAAAAGGAAAGAAGGAAAAAGGAAAGTAAGCAAAAAGGGAGATGCAGATGGATGCCTACCTGCTCCAGGTCCGCCGAAAGAGCCAGTACGACCGGAACTTCCATAGTCGTTACGGGAACGGTTGCCGTAACCAGTTCGCTCTCCTATAGAATTGTTAGGATGATGTTGGCTGGAATGCAGTGTTAGTGTCGGGACTAGGCTAAAATCACTCACCGCTAGAGGCTGTAGAGTCGGTTAGCAGCTGAAGGAACAACAAAATCTGATTGATGGAGACTTACGAATGGTGGGCATGTCCTCCATCTCATCGGCCCAAGACCCATATTCTTTACATTCATCGTCAGTTAGTATCGCCCCTGCCAGTTTAATATAGAGTATTCTATGTAGGATTTGAGCTTACGGTCATTGTTTAGGAAGTCACCCAAACTCATTTTCTTTTGATCTTTCTTTGGCCCTACATAGCAGATTGTATCATTAGAATATATTCTCTGAAAGCCCAATGTCGCATTGGCCAATACTACAAAGGACATCTGGAAACTGTCTAAGGTAGAGGATGGAAGAATATGACGACAACTTGAGGCCCTCAGGAACCGAGAGAATCCTGACGGCCTCGTGGCTGATATATATATTTTTTTCTTTTTTGGAAGGACACCTAAATGCGACGGTAGAGAGTTGGGAGGGAAATATCCTACCCATGATTGCGGTTGAGATTGGATATCGTCTACGGTAATGTGTAGTCGCAAGCGATCGAGATCAATTGGAGTTGTTCTGCGAAAACAATCCCAGATGGGATGGGCGGTTAGCAGGAGCTGAGGGAGCTGTTGGGAGCAAGGCCAGGCGACGGGAGCTTCGGAACTAACAGGTGAGAAGGTACGGTGACAGCTACGGGAAGCTTCCTGCAGATGTCTGAAGAGGGAGGAAAGGGAGAAGGAGGATGAGACAAAGCCGAAGGGTCGAAGCGACTGGACGGTGTCTCTAGGGGTTGGTGATGATGTGGTGATGAAGGTGATGATGATGATGGTGGTGGTGGTTAGATGCAGTCCTGGGTGTGGTGTGGTGTGGTTGTAGGCAGGATTGCTATTTGCAGGCAAAATTTTCTGGGTTTGTTCTTTTAGTGCCCCGTCCAGGCCTAACCTATTTTTTTATTTTTATTTTTTTTATTTTTTTTTATTTTCTTTATTTTTGGCCTGTGAAGGGATGCACTGTTACTGTTACTACACTAAAATACCGCTGACGGGTTTTGCGTTGTATTTGAGTTTGGTGGGGCAAACACATGTCCGATCACGGTGCCCGGTATCCCCGGTATCCCCGAGTCCATGCCCGGTGTGCCCCGGGGTTAACCTGCTCTTTCAACCACTCTGGCACAGTATTCACTCTGAGTAACCACAGAGTGGATAATATAAATACTAAATACCACTTATATAACTTTCAACCCCCCCGGAACCGGACACCTTCATACATTATACACTCTGTGTACTAAGTACATATATGAAGTACTTACTTAATGTGCTATGTAATGTAATAGTAAATCCCTCTGGTTATTGGTGGAGAGCGAGTGTCGCAGCCGTCGGGCAGCGGGATGAGATAAGACAAGCAGACAAGCGTCCCTCCCCCCGGTTCGGTCCCGATGTCATTCAGGGGAATGAATTCGAATAAAGAATAAGAGGAGCCTCTCACTTATATTAACGGACCGGGGTGATCGCAGCTAACAATTCTCCGTGCTGACAAAGGACACTTCCTCTTTTATATACTTAATCTATCGATTTCATAATTATCCCTATTCTTCTTCTTCTTCCACGCTTTTAAACTGGAGTACTTACTAGTGTCTCCTGACGGCCACTACTACGACTAGACTGCTACCATTAATATTACCAGTGCCGCTACAGCTACAACCCCTTCCTTCAGGTGCTTGGAGTTACGTTGGTTTGTCGACAGTGCATGTGCAGTGTAGCAATGTGTATAGAGTAGAGTATACTAGTTGCTAGTCTGCCCGGGACCTCCCACCCTTTAGCATTAACCAGATCCAGGTGTTCTTGTTCCTGACCCTTACTAGCAGACACGCTGCTGGCGTTGGATCCAGAGGGGCGGCCTTTAAACCTTTCTCTTCGAATCAGCCCCCATTTCCTCCGAAATATCCTTTGTTCTGTTCGCATTTGAGTTTCTCGTAGTCTGCATGTATACACCGCATGTCTTGACGATATAGCACTCGTGCTTGACGTAGATCGGTGCCCTTGATACTAAAACTATCCTTTTCTCATCGCCACGATTTCTTGGAAAAAAAAAAACAAAAAATACAAAACCCCCCTTCGTCGACCTCGGGCGGCCAATCCCCCATCATCATCAACCTCGACTTGATTTCGATCTCGATTCGATGACCAGGTCCAATCGATCCCGTGGATTTGGTGGTACAACGCGAGTTATTTCGCAAGTCGACTCCCTCTTTCGGCACCCTAACTCAGGTCCTAGTCCAATCCAATCCAATCCATATTCAGCTCGGCCCGGTCTAATACGTACACTCGAGCTCGATCTTACCGTATTTTCAAACTACGATACCCTCCAGTCCTCTGACGGCCCGTGCCGTCGTCTTTCGACGGGGACCGGAGTGGTTGCTTATCACACGACCTCTACATTACATCATCAACACAAGCTTTAAATCATGATAGAACGGGCTGCCATGTTTACTTCGTCATTGACGTTATCCTCCCTGCTCGGTGTGGTAGTCGTATTCTACCTTTGTTCCTTCTTATTATTCGCCGTACTTCGCATCATAACCGGGGTTTCGATACAGCGATTCGGGTATCTTTCCATTCGAGGAATACAGTTCTCGAGCGGTGGTATCGACTTCAACATCGTGAGAGCTGGCATTCTGCTCCACAGACCCACTTTCTCGCAGCCGACATGGATCAGCCTTGTTATAAGAGATTCGACAATATCTTTCAATCCAAAGCCGAAACCCGATATATCTTCGAAGCCCGGAAGAGTAGCGAACGGTAAACCCCACGAAGAAGAGAGCATCGACCCTAAGGCCAAACCCGTCCGAAGCTCCGAGGATCTGCTAGAATTTCTGAAGGATGGCGGGGACGATATGTTCAAACGACGGACGAAGAGGCAGGTGGAAGAAACGAAAAGGCTAGTAGAGCGCTGCAGAAAAATATTGCATCTATTCCGACGTTTCGTAGGCTGGATTAAAATGGTCGATGTCATTTTCAATAATACCACGTTCGAAGTTCGCCAGGCCGGGAAAATCCAAATTGGAGCTGTTGGAGCCTCGATAATTGCGCGGAAAGACTCTAGATCGCATAGCAACTACAATTCTTGCGACGAAACCGAAGGAGCAAATTCCGAGCGGCATCCTTTCGAGTGTGTCATTGCTTGTCGAAGCATTCTCCTGACTCCTCAAGGCGGAAAGCCGGTTCTGCTTAGCGATACTATCAACCTAAATATTGGCGGCGTGCTGGAGGAGAAAGACCAGGTTCTCAAGGATGTGTCCATCGACATGAAGGTGGGGAAACTCCGGATACCGCTGGACGAGATAATTAGCTTCCAAAACAACATTCAGAATCAGACGAAACCTCAGCGACCACTTCATCACAAGCGGAATCTCTCGCTTGGCTCCATTATGGGTGAGATGTCAATGCCAGGGAGCCGGACGGAGCGGCTGGTCGAGATCGTCACTGAATCTAAAGAAATATTCTCTTCTGTCATCAATGGTCTGCATGAAGTTCAAGCAACCGTAGCAATTCTGGAGATTTCGAAAGTTGCCAATGATATCAGGCCCTCTGGAAAACCTCTTATTGCGACAATGTCGCTTAAAGAGCTAGGTTTGGACCTCCATAAGCTAGAACAAGACAGCCCAGCGCATCGAATGTAAGAATTTCAACTTGATTCCGTCATTATAGGGAAAATACACTAATGGTACTTCCACAGGGACTTTTCTCCAAATGATATCGCACATCAGGCACTTCTTGCCGCTATTTCCCTGGCGTTCAAGATTGACGACCAAATGGGAAAAGTAGACCAGCTGCTCTACGTCCCCATGGTTACCATGACTTCGAAGCTGACGCTTCCATCAAAAATCATCGAACTTGCCGAATGCCCCGAGGCGGACCGTAACTCAAACGTTGTGAACGCAAGTATCGTCATAACGTCGCCATCAGTTGACCTCGAGCCCAAGCATCTTCCTATAGTTGTTAATATTTTTAAGCAAAGGAAGAGCAGACCCCGAAATCACAGCTTTGGTGGTCCACAACAACTGATATCCCGGCTGCTACCGAAGACGAACATCAAGTTTTCTGTTCACGAACCGGTTGTCAGAGTTTTGTTACCAGCTTTCGACAAAGCCAACCCTAAGAATCCTCCACTTACCGATATGTTAATCTTCAGCATCTCTTCGTCATCCCACGAAATTGAATCATCTCATGTGACAGGAAGTCAGAACCATTACGTCTTGACCACTTCGTTACGTATTGCAAGCTCGTGTCTTTTCTACCGAGCCGCGGGAGGTGAAAGACATGATCTTTTCCAGCTCGATACCCTTGAGGTCAAAGCACAGCTTGATGCGTCGCCCGAAGTTCGTCTTGCGGGGACTTGCGAGATTGCGTCATGCACGACTCGAATGGTTCGCACAGAGATCGTTCAGGGTATCAAACAGATGGTCAAGCAGTTTCAGCGAGATTTTGTCCCTGAAAGGTCGTCACCAAATCCCTTCGGGGAACGACCATCATTTCTGCGGAATATCCCAGAATGGCTTGTTCAATTCAAGGTTGATGGGAAGGACTTTAGCTTCGAAGTAGCTGGGAAGGATGAGCAGGTATCAGAAGATGTACGTGGAGCAGCGATTCAGATGGACTCCTGGTCCTTGGAATACAAGTCCCAGGTCATCAGTAAATCCCGAGAGAAGAGCCATCCTAAGCGGAGGACATCTAGGGCCATTGGGATGGATGAGAAAATACCACTCCAAGGACCTCGGCCGTCGAAAAACCCAACAGACGGCCGGAGACTATCATTCCATATCCATGGGCTAGAAGGGTTTGCCGTTGACTCGGCAGAAACATGGGACGCAGATCCTATGTGCGCTCTACCACACTTTGAAGTGGCTTTCTCGTCTGTCACAGACCAGGATGGCCCCACTCTTTTGATCACATCACATACTAAAACCCTTTTCCTACATTATTCACTGCTTCGTCATTATTCCGTTTTAATTGCGGCTCGGGTGCTGAAAGATGCCTTTGGAGATTTCCGTTCTGTTAAGACTCCAAAGCGCTTTCATTCACCTACCGAACAACTCTTTCCAAGTCCAACGTTCGGTGGGTTAGATATAGTGGAAAGTCCCATGAAACAAGAAGAGTTTGTTAGTGTAGACGTTCGAATTCGTCACGTCAAGATTAAGGGAGACTTCGCAAAGAATCCGAAGGTGATGCTGGATATTTACCATCTCGATGCCGGAAGACAACGATGGGGCTTCCCATACCTCAAAGCGCGGAATATCAGGTTTTACGTTACCAGCCCTAAACTTGGTAACTGTTGGGCGAGAGTCATTAGCGCTAAGCATTTCCGAGGTGATATGCGGGAAGGTCGATACGAGAATCAGAAAGTGTTTTCGAAACGCAAGTCGCTTGACCTAACAATGGAGGCAATACGGATTGCAATTCCTCACCAACTTGTCCTTTATAGGGTCACGGATAATTTAGTTAACGCTGCCAAAGCATCCCAGCAGCTCTTTCGCCAGTTCAAATCCGGAGCGAAGGAGTTTCCATTGGAGAAGAAGGCAGAGGAAGCAAAAATTCTACCAAGGATATCAATTAAAGCGAAAGCGCTGCAGTTTGAACTGGAAGATGACCTTTTTGAAAGCAAGCTATCAATGATATACAGGATTGGTCTTAGCGAGCAGAAGAATCGGATTGCCCGAGAAGAAGCATATGACGCCAAAGTCGCCAAAGTCATTGAATCCAAGAACCGACGGCATTCAACTCGAACGACACATCCTACTAAGCCCACTCCCAACGGTATCAACACTTCCGACGCTGGGAGCGTAGTAACTGACAAAGACGGAGCCGAAGGTGATCAAGGCTCTCCTACCACAGACTCGAGAGGCCGCCGGAAAATGCGCTATAATCTTGACCATGCGCAAGGACCGACATGTGAAGCGAGTATATCTATCAATAAGGCGTGGTGGAAACTTCAAGAGCACAATTCGCAAGTTTGGATCAGAAAGATGAAGATGGCGATTCCCAAAACCCGCACAAGAATCCAGGCTATGCGGCGGAAGTTTCTAGGCGAGGATGACTTGCCCCCTGATGTTGAAGAAACGGAGAGGATATTAGAAGTTCCAGCTCGACCGGCCCTTGCGATCGCCTCTATTGTTGACTTTGATTTGACGTTGGACAAACCGTCATTCCCGCTAGAACATCTTCCGAAATTCTTGCACAAAGTCGGGAAGGGTTTGCCAGAAGATACGAAGTTCTCATTACTTGTCCCAATGCATATCAAACTCAACATGGGAGAAGCACGAATAAATTTGAGAGACTACCCTTTGCCTCTCCTTCATATCCCTCAGATGAAATCAGGGCTATCGCCTCGGATACCTGCGTGGTCGCTCGAAACGGACTTTGTGGTCGCAGAAGAATTACGAGATAAGAACTCTATGCTACATGTCAAAGTAGATATTGTTCCGCCTGAAGATAGAGAAGGGAAGAAACAAAAAGGGTTTGCAGTCGATGTTCATCGAACAGTATCCCCTGTTAAAACCTATTCTGACATCGACATCACCATAAATACCCCATACACCACACGAGCTACGTGGGGAACATCATACCAACCTGCAATTCAAGATATGATGATGGTTTTTGAAACTTTCACAAAACCACATGTAGATCCATCCGAAAAGATTGGGTTCTGGGATAAACTTCGCCTTTCAATTCACTCACGTATTCGATGGGCGTGGAAGGGCGATGGAGATGTCCAAGTAACACTGAAAGGCTCAAGAGATCCCTATGTTATCACCGGCAACGGCGCCGGATTTGTGAAGTGTTGGCGAGGCGACGTTCGCTGCTATATTGCTAACGACGATAAACCGTTGAACTTTCTCATCGTCGAAAGCAAAGAGTACTTCCTCGCAATACCAGACTTTAGCCAGCAGGCCCTTCAGATCTTTGAAGACACCTCGACGACAACAGAAGATGATCAAAGCTTTATGAGTAACGATAGCTATAATAAGACGATCGCTATTTTTAAGAAGGTCATCTTGAAGGCTACTGGCGGGGTGAGATGGCAGCTAGGTCTGGTATTCGAGCAGGAGACTAGCCAGGAGGCGGATTGGATCGTTCGGCAGAGGTCTTTTGCCTTTTTACCGCATTATAAAATTACTCTACGAACCCCGGGGGCTGCAAAAGCTTTACAGCAAAACTCAGATCAGGTAGGTCTCCACTAGAAACCTCTCATGATATAGCCGTCATACTAATACTGCTATTGAAGGTATATGATGCGTTCAGAGGGTTTAGGAGCCACCATATTCATCTTTCGATATCGATGGTGGCACCAATAAACCATGACTGGACTAGCAATAAAATGGGGTCGGCCTACAATACCATCCATCTAACACCGAGGGTGTTCACACATTTCTACGATTGGGTGGGATTGTTCTCTGGCGTTATGTCACTCCCCATTCGACAAGGCCGCCTCTTCCCGGGAGTAGAAAAATCGACAAAGAAGTTCGGCAGGCATCTTGCAACTATTAAGTATAAGCTCCTCCTGTCGCCCTTATACTTAAGTCATATATATAGACACAAGGATGCGGAGGAATATAAAGCCGAAGCTGCCGGGGGAGCACCTACGGATACGATCACAGCCACCGGTCTCAAAGTCAAACTACATCGTTTCACTCTCGACGCACATCAAAGGAAGGAAGAGAGCGTGATGAAAATCAAGGGGTTCAATGTCGATCGGAGAAGCACCAACATGAGTATTAACCAAGCCGAACTAGACTTTACCACAGCCGATATCAGAGCCGTATCTGCTACCATCGCGAGCTCGACTTCAGATGACGTGAAGGATTGGGCGGGCTTCGATTTACCTGCCAATGACGATACAACTCCCTTAGGCGACTCCTCAAACTTTTCAATCTCGGATGGAGACACGGACTGGATTGATGTCGACGACTTTGTGGAGCTAGATTGGATTCTTCCGACGAGGTACAGCCCTGCGACAAAGATTATGCCGTTAGCATCCACGCCGCGATTCACATACTTCAGGCAGACGGATCATTCTAGTGGTGAAGGCTCGACAGGTAGAAAGGGCAGGAGTCCGTTTGGACACGAAGCCACGCACGATTGTATGATGAACCAGAACAACGATCCTAGGGAGATCCAGTGCGAGTTTATCCAATCGCGAATGGAAAAGGTCCATTCCCAACTCCGCATGAACAAGGAACTCCTCAATACCCTCGCCGAAAGTATAAAGCAAGATAAGGACAACCAAAAGCTTATGAAAGAGTCAGAGCGTCTCATCCAACAGAGTTCAGTACTTACGGACAAAATCAAATTCCTTCAAAACATGCTCCGCAATATGTCTAAGTACCTCGACGAATCCGCTATCAGTGACGACAGTTCAAGTATCAGCAGCAAGTCGGATGATGACGTGCCGATGATGGATGCAGCAGAGCCGTACACGAAGTGGGATGATGACTTTAATAACCGCTTCATCGTCCATAATATGCAGGCGAAATGGAGCAACGACTTGAGGAATGTGATACTAAGGTATATACATCAAGTTAACCAACGAAGAGGTTTTGTGTACTACATGTCCAGGCGGGCGGTGAAGTTTATACTCGACCTAGTTGATGAACAGCAGATGGATAGAGAAAAGAAACAGAGTCAGGAGCTTGATCCGGATAGAGCCAGCATAAGGGGCGTTTGGGAAAACGGGCCTCAAGATACGGAGGAGAGCGGGGTCGTGCAGTCAAGGATCGAGGCTCTATTGAATGACAAGGCAAAGGTTGTGGCGGCAGATGACGATCCGCGGCCACGCAGTCGGAGAATGTCGATGGGTGGTGCACCGGCAGACCCTACAGATCTCAAGAAGGGCATTTCAGAGGAGTATATACCTCTCAATTCCTATCATGTGCGATTGATATCGCCGCAGATTCAGATGCAAAGTGAAAAGAACAAGAGCTCAGCCCTTCTCGTCACCTCGCAGAGCATGCAGCTTACCGTCATATCAGTCATGGACAAAGAGAGAATCAGTGACCCCGTTTCCGGTCTCGTTCAACGACGTTTCGCATTAGAGCTAGAGAATGCACAGGCGTTTGTGGCTCGACATAAGGACTTCACCTCGCCTCTTCACAATCTACATTCGAACAATCAGTACGGATGCGTCAAGAATACATCTTGGCCACCATGGGTGCCAATGGAAAATATGTTGTTGTTCGATATTAATCCTCACGGGTTCTCCCGCGTGGTTAAGAAGACTTCAACAACATTGCGGGCAGATAAGCATAACTCTTTGCGATTGAAGTTAATCGATGAGGGTTTGGACACTGGCAGCGGAGAGCACAATGCGAGTTTAGTGGAGAATGAACCTAGGGTAGATCACATTTGGGCGACTTTCGACAGAATGGAGGTTTCTACGAATTCGGCAGAGTACTACACGCTCTACATCATAGTCCTAGATCTATTGCTATACTCTGAGCCATTAGAAAAGAGTAGGAACGAACGCTTGGAAAAGATTATTTTGGCCTCGGATTTCAGTGATCTCAAGGGTGCGGAGAACATCATTACAGCCCTCCAAGGCCGGATTCAACAATTAGAGGAGATCAAGACACACTTCCAGATCAACGCTAGGAACCTCGACAAACAGGGATGGATCGACCGAATGTGCCTGGAAAAGGATCTTGCTACCTGTGAAGACGAACTATTCTTCACGATGAAATCCATCATGTCTGTGCAGCGCAAGTACGACGAACGTCAGCAAACTACCGGGTTGATCAGGTGGTATCTCAGTGCCGGCGAGATCATTGCAAACCTCTTATTGAACAAAGACCAACCGTTCGTGGACCTCAAATTAACGAATGCCTGCTACGAGCGAACGGACAACAGCGACGGGTCGAATTTCAATACCGTGGAAGTTGAAATGTTGCAGGGTGTCAATCGACTACCGGATGCGACTTACCCTGCGATGATTTCACCATATCTTGAAGGCACACTCGAGGCAAACAAGGCGCATCAGAACAAAATCCTTCGGGTGTATTGGTACATGCTTGAAGCTATCGCTGGCATTCCAGTGATGGATCATTTCGAAGTCAATCTGTTCCCATTGTTAGTACAACTGGATTACGACGCTGGTCAAAAGCTATTTGAGTTCATCTTCCCCGGTGTTAATTCAAATTCGTCAGAAGGGTTTTCGCCGTTTATGATGAAGCCTTCATTGTCTAATATTCCGGATGGCAGCGACTCTGAGTCTGACTCCGACAATGCAATACGCGCGCAGCTAGAGCAGAAACTATCATCAGAGTCACCACAACCACAACCACAGACAGATGCCGGGCTGCTAGGTGATCGCCTGTTGCCTACCACGACGTCGGAGAAGAGACCACATACTTCTGGTGGATTGAAAACCCAACGGCCAACCACTGCCCATGCAGATTCAGATAAGTGGTCGCTAAAGCCGCGGTTCACCATGAAGCGACAACAGTCTTTTGAGTCCTTACCTTCACTAGCAAAGAAGGCAGCTGATGATGGTGCGCCCAGAACATCTTCTGAAAGCAGTGCTGTCAATGGCAGATCAGCTTCGCCAGTGTTCATCCGTGTCAATAGCGTTGGCAACTCGGAGCACGCATCGGCGGCCGCGGCAGCCAAGAAGGCGGGTGTTTGGGGTCGCAACAATAGTATAACAGCTCAAGCGGATGGCAAACAAAAAGAAAAGACGGATGAAATTTCGCAGATGATCAGTCGTGCGTCCAATTATATGACGTTAGCATATATCAAGATTCCTAGCGTGGTGCTTTGTCTGAGCTATAAAGGCAAAGGAGACAGAAATATTGAGGACATTCACCAGTTTGTGTTCCGAATGCCGACATTGGAGTATAGGAATAAGACCTGGAGTAACTTGGACTTGTTGGTGAGGTTGAAGAAAGGTAGGTTTCAATTTTACGCCCCCACTAAAGAGGTATAAAAACTAATAATTGTTGGTAGATGTCATTCGTGCTTTAATCTCCCATACCGGCGCAATTATTGAGCACAAGGTGTTCCATCGACGACCAAATCTGCTAAAAGGTGCCAATCTTCGAAATCTAGTCGCCAGCTCTATGAGTGCTGCTACGACTCCATTAGGCAGCGATAGCGATGTATCATCGTACTTGCCAAGCTCTTACGAAGAATCCATACGATCAGGAAGTGTGAGCACCAGCAATCAGACAGCTGGCCCATCGAAGAGGGACAGAAGCAATTCTTCGGGACTACCGCTTTCTCATCGGGCATCTATACGGTCCCGTTCGGGGACTCGAGCGGGTAGTGTTCGCTCGGATCGGTCCTACAGTTCGGCCAGTGCGCATCGAAATTCAAGTGAGCAGAGCACCGATGATGGTAGCAGCTCGGCTCCGGGCTCCAGGGAAGGAGATGAGACGGTATGTACTTATGTTTTGGATGAAAAGACATCGAGAGGATATGCTAATATTTGCTCGTGGTTATAGCAGCAGCAGCAGCAGCAGCAGCACGGAATATTTCATAATACGCTTGGAAGACACCTATCAATATTGACTAACGATAGGAGAGCAAGAGATGGGATTGCGGGGGAGTCCGAAGAAAGGTAAGGCCTAAGATACATTTGAATTTTGGGGTTAAGTACTAATAGTGGGGAATAAAATAGCATTCGGAAAAAGAGCAGACTATTACTAGGAAAGAAGCTCTTAGGATCAGGATAAAAAAAACGCCACCCTGTTTTTCATGGCTTCAGGCGCTTCAGGCGTTTTTCCCAATTAACATACGCTTCATATGTACATGTTGTTCGATTGGTTTTTTTTACCGTATATACATACTTACTTCCTACCGTTGGATTTTAGCGTTACTACCACTGTTACAGGGTGCATGCGTGTTTTCTGTTCGGGGATCGCAAACAAAAAAGTCGTTAGAGGTTTTCAAGGATTTCGCTATCAGGGTGATTGATATGTTTTTTCCGGCGTGTGCTATTGGTTTATTTCCCCCTTCTATCGTACTTTTTTTCCCTTTCTCGTTTTTTATTTATTTTTATTTTAAGGGTGGTTTTATTGTTACCTACGATTCCCTTTGTACTACCTTACCAACCTACTTCATAGGTTATATACACCTAATAATATACCACTTACGGCCGTCTTAGAGAAGACCTCTACTATATTCGCAATCGTGCTACAGGAATGAAGGGATCCGTTTCTTTCCTCATTGAAAATCCGGGGTAAAGTGGTGTGACGGCGACGGTAACTAAAAGTCGACGTCATGCATGCGGGGATCTTCAGAATGCCGCATACTAACAAAGCGCCAACCGGGTCCAACTAGGAAATTGCTCGGACGATATTCAGAGCGGGCGGACTCTGCAATGTAGACGGTATGTAATCCAGCCGCATTCATTTTGCTCAAAGATACATTTCCGTTGGTGATACGATACTTCATAACGAAACGTTTGTTATGTTAATCTTTAAGGATTTCTGTTTGTTAGTTTTTTTCTGGATTTTTTTTAGCCCTATAGAATCGCTAACTGTATGTAGATATTCATGACGCGGAATGGCATCATATTGTTTATACTGATGCTGGATTCGATCTAGGAGGAGCAAAAAAGAGGGGTTCAGTGTTCAGCTGCTAGATTGATATAAGAAGGGAGTGGGATTTCATGTTCACACGGAAGTAATATATGGTAGAACTTTTTTCTGTTTCTCCTATCAACGTTAACATTCTCAAGGTTATCCAATATCGTAATTTCGAACTTCTTAATTTCGAACTTCTAGTAAACTGCAACGTATATATATAACCAAAACCACCACCTTCTATAAAACTAAATTCAAAAATGCAAAGAAGAAGAAGCTCCTGCGGCGACGACGAAACGATCGCTAGCTCAAAGATCGAGCCCTTAGCTTCACCAACAAAGTATCACACACCGACGGTGCATGATGGCGGATGTGTGGGTGAAGATGATATTTTGGATAGCAGCCGGGTTGGGGCCATGAAGAAAGAGAGTACGCATCGAACGACCTTCCTACCTCGATTTATTATATTTTAATTTGCTAGATTGAAATTGTGTTATACTGCTAGCTAGTACCGTGGTTAATTGGTATACTAATGTGAAAATTTTATACTATAAATGCTAGAGAAATACCAGCACCCGGCTGCACAGGTCCATCCCGGTGGGTCTACGGGGACAGATGAGACTATCGGGTCGACGAATGTGGAGTATGCTTTATACAATATCACCTTATATTTCCCCTCTTCGATATAAAGATCAGTGGGGAGGATATTAATGGAGCTAATCGATTTTCTTTCTTTCTTTCTTTCCTTTTTAAATATAGTCCGTTGTTCTCGAAAGGGAAGAACACGACGAGAAAGGATTCATTAGATGATGGCAAGATTGATGGGGCGAGAATTGCGGTAAGTGTTCATGCTCATGTTCATGTTCCTTTTTTTAAAAATTTCTTCATTTTTGTCCTGAAATGTTGGGATTGAGGTTGCAATGTGTGAGGGCCAAGGCTAATGTAGGCTCTACGGTGGTGGGGGTGGTGGTACTAGCCGATGGGGAGCGTGAGGGATGAGTATTGATTTAGTAAAACGAATATATCAGAATGGAGGGGGGTCTGAGTATTTAGTAAGAATTGAGAGTAATAATGACAAAGGAAAAAATGGATTCAGAGTCGGATTCGGATTCGGATTTGGATGTCCATGTCAAAAGAAAAAATGGATTTCTGGAATTAACCGTTAAAAGCGAAGCTTGCGGTTGGGCACCGATTGGCGGCCCTGGCATTGATTGATTGATTGTTGATTTATTGATATCGACCCATGGATATTGTACTTTATAATTGTTTCAATATGTTAATTATGTCGGACTCTCAGCTCAGACCGCCTTTCGTCTGTTAAAAAGTTTCAATTCAACAATGTTTCAACAGATGTCGATATATCTCGCATAGTTTGATGTGCCTGGCAACGTAGACATGGTAATTGCCTCGTAGCTGTCAAAGGTCAACCCCGCCGGATCCGCGGAGGCCGCTGCATATGTCAATTGCGAAATCGAAAACCCGGTTGGAGGCAATATCGATTAGAAGCCTCGCGCTCTGCCCGATATCGGTGTGGAATTGGACTGTCTGTAGGTCGCCAGCACAGATAGTATCCGATTGTCATAATAACGAATTTCTTTTCCCTCGGGATTAATCTCCAAGAAATTTAGACTTGAAAATTGTTAGGGTCCATATCTTCCAGGGGATTATTCCGTGCCAGAGCTCTTTCTGTTTTTTCGTTTTTCGTGATAGATATGGTTGTTTTCGCTTTGTTCCCCCATGCCTGCCATGCAAGCCCGCAAGCCCCCCATGCTCGGAACCCTTGCTAAACTCCTCATCAGCGGATCTGATAAAGCATGATAAAATCACACCCTGGAACCTGACTTAGCTTGACAAACCAGGCTTGAACTCGGCGTCGCCCGTGGCCAAAGCTAGTTTGGGGAGCTAGTTCGAGAGGGCGATTTGCTGTTGATTCTTCGATCGTTACTGCCGTTTTTTACCCATGAGGCTCAAGGGGTAAACCTTTCCTAAATCATTATTTTCCTCTCTTTTTTGTTCTTTGGTGTTTTTGACGCATCGTGGAACTTTGTCTCTTCTCAGATACGAAAGGAGGATTCAGTCTTCGAATTCGAATCGACGACTCAGAGGACCGGAATCCAAAAGGGCAGTTGGAGGCCAGCCAGCCTTCTGGTGACGGATTGTCTTCCTCGTGGGCTGCGGTGCATGAAAGACCCACCTGGTGCACCAGCTAGCTATACCAAGAACACTAACGATCAGTCACAGACCCGCATGGCATGGCGCCTTCGAGTCCTCCACCTTGTGCCGCCTCCCCAGCTTGGCTGTATTAGCTGTTAATATGGCTGTTGTTAGTATGGCTCAGCAGGTTATTCCGTGAAAGAACGAAGGAAAGAAAGAAGTTGACAGAAAGTGCATGGCATAGTTTCCGCATGGGGAGGGAAGAACCTTAAATATTAATCCCCTCTTCGCGCTTCAATCTTCCTCTCCTTCAAATTATACATATCGACTGAGGTACCTAGATATTCTAGCTTTTAGCTTTAAGGCTCACTCTTCTTCGTCTTCATCTTTTCCTTCCTTGCCTTTTGTCTCTTTTTATCTTTCTTGGGTATATATAATAGAAAGTGAAGTGAAGCGTGGTGGCGATGTTTTCTAGCAGTGGGAACACAAAGAAGCTGTCGCTGGGCGATGAGATCAATTACATCACAGCGTACGTTACACTGCTCTCGTCTGCCAGTACAGTATCACCATCTAGACCTTTAAAGCTTCACAACTTGAACTTAAGATCTGGATGAATGATTACTTATACATTGAAGAGTGTATGCTAAGTTGATACTAAATAGTTCGCTTCATCATGAACTTAACATGATCATTATGAGCCGGCTGCCGCTGGGCTTGAAGAATCCCAAGGCATTCCATGAAGGTACTCCTCCTCATCCTCCTCATCCACCATCTCCTCACCCCCCATGGAATATGTTCCATACCGATCTTGATATTAATGCGACATGATGTTATAACAGGCCTCACATCATTCTCCATCCTTTACTCCAGCTTCGAATCTGCCCTTGACTCTCATATTCGTAACCCTTCAACACCTTCCCGTACTCGAGCTATCCTGGAGCATGTCTACATCCCGGCTGTCCACCGTGCAGCTACTTTCGAGGCCGACCTGAAGAAGTACTCTCCTTCATCCGAAAAGGACGAGCTAACAAAAGGCACACCTGCTCGCGCCCATGTTCTCAATCATATCCGTCGGGCCACGACCGAGACTCCTCACGTGCTTCTCGCGTACTGTCACTGCCTCTACATGGCCCTTTTCGCTGGTGGCCAGCACATCAAAGCGGCCATAGCCCGTTCTGCCGTTCGAAAACTCGACTTAGCGCAACATCAGACCGTCCCCGAAGAAGCCAAGAAGTCGGCGCCCGGTATCGCGTTGTTCACTTTTGACGGTCGGTCGACAAAGGAAGAGCAGGAGTTACGCCAAAAGCTTCGTGATGGAATCCGTCAAGCCGAGGAACTATTAACGCCCAAGGAACGTGCTGAGGTGCTCGCCGAGTCGTGTGAGGTTTTCAAGCTGACGAGACGATTGGTCGACGAGCTCGACGGGATCTGTGGAACCGCACCGACGGTACTGGTGGCTACAAAACAGTATACCGAAAGCGAATCGCCGACCGTGCCATCGGTTGAAGGTCAAACTTCGGGGAGATCATGGATCAAGAGATTGGATAGGAAGAGGGTTGAGACCATGGTGAAAGGGTTTGTTTGTGTGTCCTTCTTAGTGGGGTACCTGATGTATTTGAACATTTCGTCCCCGTCAGCCGCTACTGAAGGACTGGAAGGGAATGGGAACTAGTGCATTTTAGGACGACCTGCATGCATCGACGACACCGCATCAGCATGCTGACTGAACCTTACCAATGGTTGGCCTTGGACTCTGAATTCGAATCTGTTCTCGTTTGTTCTTTGCATTTTCTTTCCCTTTGTCGATACCCCTTAGGATTATTCTAATTTTTTTCTATTTCTATTTCCTTTTTTTTTTTTCCCTGATTTTTTTTACATACACAGCATTCGGCGTTAATTGTTTCGAAGTGCATATTTGGCCTGTCAGCATCGCAGTTGAAAGCAATATACATTGACCACTGCTATCTCTTGGTATCCTGTTCTTCGCAATTCCATATCTTTGAAAGGGTCTTGGTCCCTCCAAACTGTTGATTAATCACAACTTGGCTACATAACAGGCATCTTGCACGGATAAAACCGCAATTCTGTCAATGTGAATAGAGCATCCGTTTCCAAATGTGGAAGTACTCGAAGACCCGGCGATCCGGCCCGTCAGGCAACTACAATAACGTCAAATTGCGTTGAATGCCGAAAGGTATCAGCGGAGGAATGACTAAGAGCCTTATATGCCGAACGAGCCAGTAGAATTGCGAGCGGAACGTCAGCTTAGGCGGGTCTCTCATGCATGCTCGATCTCGAATAGGCTTGGAAGACGTAGCCGATTGTCGCACAAAGCCACTGCCAATATGCATAAGTGTGTCCGCACCCGTCCGCAGATGCAAAACTGTCCACCTGCGCTGGCTGGGCAAGCTGGGGAAACTTCCGTTAATCGGCCGGGCCGTTTTTTAAATTTAAAATCGCCGTAGGATTTATGAGGGCTGAGAATATATATTGTATTGGAAAGGCTCTGGTATTTGCGAGATCTGTGGATTCAGTAACGTTGTCCGAATCGAATCATATCGATATCGATATCTCGATAGATCTAGATCGTTACAGCTTAAGCTATAGACATCTGCCTATATCCTATTTTACATTCCAACTAAGCACTTTATAAGCTTCATAGTTGATACTTTATTCGGATCCGATTACATATCAAAAATGCAATCGAACAACATTACAACCCTCCCCATCGAACTCCGCATCAAGATCCTCCATCACCTGCCATCGCCTCCTTCCCTTCTCTCTGCCATAACTTCCACTCGTTCAATTCATACAGCATACGCCGAATCCCGTATTTCAATAGCTACTGCCATTCTCCAAAATTCAACATCTGAATCTTCAGTATACTGCAACTTCCTGACCTATGCCCTCATCGTCTTCCACCAAAAAAACTACGTCACCCTAGAAAGGTTACATAAATACCTGCGATCCTACCTATCATTTGCCAACCCCGATGGCAATATTCAAGGAGGGAGATTCGAAGATGTAGTCCCTTGGGAAATCTGCCCGCCTCCTAATTTCTACAGCTTGAGAAGCAAAGTCTACCGCAGTATCTTCCTCTGGGCCACCAAATTCTGCACTTCAAAGCTCCATGAAAGCTCTCAAACCCACCCGGTGGCTCCACCTACACCTCTAGAAATTGCTAGAGTAGCAAGGGCGTTGTATCAATACTTTATCTACACCATCATATCAGCGGATATATTCTTCCAGAGTAACGATGTGGATACTATGGGAAGACCAATGACGGGAAAACCAGGTATTGAGAGCATGGGTGCCTTTGTAGAAAGTATGGGGTATAGGGATCGAAAAGTTGTCGATTGGTTTCTAAGGGAGTGGCTGGTGGAGGTTGTTGGCGAAGTTGTGAGGAAGTGCTTGAAGGATGAGGAGAACCCCGTCAGAAGAGAAACAGGGCATTGGGATGTTAGTTTTCTAACTTTGGGTGAGACACTCCAGATCCAATTTGAGTTTTGATTTATGATTGATCGAATTTGGATGGCGGACAAGGGCTAATTACAGGTTTTTGGGACTGGGCAGAACATAAAGTAAATGAAGCGACACAGGCTCTGATTGCTAGACTCGGTCCAATTCAGCTCTGGAAATTTGTGTTTGGTTCGACCTATGAAGAGCAGTTTAAGATCTATTGCCAGGCTCCTGCAGCTTTAGATAGGGGATCCTTTTTGCCCTGGGAAATACTACAGGATGAGAGGAAAGAAGTCGAGTCTTACGATCCTAAAATGAGGATTTGTACTGGCTTGACGGAAATTGGAGGGGATAAAATATATGAATGGTGGAGGAAGGATGGAGGCGTTATGAAAGAAGGGATCTTGTGGGATGAGAGGAGATTGAAGGCCATGGGCTTGCAGTGGCCAATGGTGAAAGAAGGTGTAAAGGTTCGATGGGTATGCTCCTCATAGCAAATTTCCTGATTATATACGCTTGCTAACCAGGAATTACGAATTTTTATAGTACAAGAAAGATACCAAATGGAAGAACAGAGAGCTCGCAATGGGTGAGTGCGACGACGATTATTGGTAGACTGCACGGGAGATAGTGCTGACTAGTAAAAAAAATGGAGTTATGGGAAGACGGTCTGGGTTTTTATATTGGATGCTATTGTTCTTGGTTTTTGGAGTTTACTCGCCGTTGTTTTATAGGAATTGCCGGATAGAGTAAAATTCAAAATTTATTTCTCTCTAAAATCTAAAAATTCCTTTTAAAAATATTAGTCTCGAGGTTGAGGTTCATAAACAGGTGTCGAGAGGAGTCTGTCCCACTCAGTCATGCCAATCATTGCGACTATGATGCACATCACCGGTGTTCTACAGGCATCCAAGTCCTGCACTTTCGAAACATCCCCTAACATGGGCCCGTAGTTATCATGGGCTGCACATGCTTCAATTGCTAAGTTCGCTCTATAGCATGTACGGGAGCCGCCCGGCCGCCATGGCCACATGCTCATATGGCCTCGCTAGAACTGATAATCAATAAGCTAATACAACGTGGCGAACTTTGTAATACCTCAACTCCATACCTTGTACATTTCCCGCCAGTATTTACACTACCTTAAAAAGCCGTCCTTGGGACAGAAATATCCTATCCTTAGCCCAGGAGCTCCGAATACTTTAAGGTGTATATAACGAAAGTTAATCAGATATATCCTGATGAATAAAATACCACAGCTAATTTCTTGATTCCGTGTTGTTAACTGTGAACTATTTATAATTTAAACTGTCTATTATATTATCGAAATATCTCATAAGAGTTCGTATGAGCGTTACCTCGTATACGTAAACGCGTATATTATCACAGTGATCATCGATCGAAGCCAGTAGTTAGTTCTATATAATTATCGTTATACCCTCTCTCGAGCTCGTCCCCTTTAGATATATATACATATATTTATACTAAATTATATTATATTATAGTACGAGGTTTTGTATTGAACGCTTTTTATAAATTTAGTTCAAGATCGCTTTCGAACTTCAAACTTTAAGACGCTCTCAATATATATCTACATGCATGTATACGGTGCATTTTACGATATCCTCTTAATTGCTTCAATAACTTCTCCGATCAAAGCGTATTTTGCGCCCAAGAACACTCTCAGTTTCTAACAAACTGTTTAAAAGAGCCAATACTAATTTCTATTGATTTCGTCTGTCATAGTTCGTAGAAGTGTAACGGTGGCGAGGAATATGTCGATATCTTCCCAATCCCCCTCATACTTTATATGTATACGATAGCTTATGCGCAAGCTACATTATCCGCGCGGAAGATCGGTAGTCAGATCTTCCCACCCGCCGACATAAATAGAACCCCCCCGCATAAACCTTTCGGTAGAGATCGTATGTTCTCACAAGTTTAAAAGGCTAGCGAAGAGGCAATAGCGGGATATAATTCAGTACTTTATGTATTTATAAAGCCGTGAATTCTCGCGTTTAGCTCTGTATACACCGAGATTATTTTGCATCTCCCATCGCTCCAATTATCTGTCCCCTCTGTGGTATAAAAGGCGCGGCTGCAGCATCCCTCATACCCCCCCTCCACCACCCCCCTTTCTTTCCTAAAATCTTCACCTAAGAGTGTTAGTCCAGCCAGAAAAGAAAGAAAAAACGCTAAGACACGACCACTGCCACAAAGACCACGTTCCAAGCCCTCCAGCCTCAAGCTTTCGGGGTGCGCCTACTTGGTTTCTACTTTATAATTTAGAGCAGAAAAAAAGTAAGTATATCCCCGCCGGTATGACACAGGAGCAGCTCCAAGAGTCTCTCGAGGCAATGTCCCTCAAAGAGGCGACGGAGCTCACCAACCAAAAACTACAAAAAATGCAAGACGACGTTCAAAAATTCGTTCTATTGGAATTTCAAAAGATAAAAGCACGATTTGAAGACTACATGGAAGAGGAACTCGACGATATTGAAGAACAACATAGAGAAAACGTCAAAAAAATCGAAGGAATATGGCGAACCTACGCGGGTGACTCAGTCCGCAGCCTCGCAAAATCACATGATGATTTGACGGACAAAGTCACCGCAAGTCTACGATGCTTCCAAAGCCGGGAACTTATGCTCGGCATCAGGTATTTGGTCCTTACTGCCCGTCAAATGTATCAAAACGAGTCCTTTTGTCCAAATTGCGGTAAGGGGATACCCTTGACCTCTGTCAACTACGCCGTCTCTGAGGACGATCCTATCGAAAAAGCGACACCAGAGGATATCAAGGAGATTTCACACGGCATTCTGAACGCTAAAGATCTCAAACTTCTCAAGTTCTCGGAGGTATGTTCTCTCTTACCGATTTATTAAAAAAACAAAAATAAAAATTTTTAAAAGTTAATACTCACATACCCACTTTTTCTAATGCTATAGCTTAATGGAGATGAGACCGACATCAGAGCGTATGATAACTGGGCTTATCTCGCACTGCTTCTCAGTAACCCCTCTTATGTTGATGTGAGAGAGAAATATTCGAACATGTTCAAGTGGGTGGTCGGAAATTCTATCGAAAATGTCGCCGAAAAGGCATACCGACTCCACATCGTCCCATACTGGCACTAGTTCCCGACAGCAACTAGGAGCTAGCAGAAGTGGCTGAATGGGTACATCCCGCGTGCTCACACAGCTAATTATTTGGGACTGCACTGTCACTTTCCTTTAAAAGCCTCAATCTACCGCTGGACTTCTCGTGGGTATCATCCAATTGGAGGTACTAAACCCCAAATTGTGGGATTTATCGGTCTTATTTTTTCTCTTAATATAAATTATACCCCATCTCTGGCCCAGTGCTACGTTTTTTTGTTTTTCATTGAGATATTGTCGTTTTTCTCTCTCTTTTCTTTCCTTTTTCTTTCTTTTCGTATACAAAAATACCAAATTTTGGGAGGATCGGTTCGGGACGAGGCAGGACTTTGCTGAACGACACTTCTATCAATTAATACTTAATTACTTACTTGCTATATACTTTAAACTTAATCATGTTAATTATCGATTTTCTTTGCATGTTTTCTTTGGGCTTCATTTCGATGTCGATTTTTTAATTAACACTTACATGTATCATCGATCGCGATGTAGTTAGTATTAATACGTCTTAAAAGAATAAAATCCAAAAAAATTTTAAAAAATAAAAAGAAAGAGTACAATTGTATCACGAGCGATAATTCGAAAATAAAATAAAATATGGTGTCACAGATTTGATTATGAAACTGTCTTCAAAGCTCGGGTATCCCAAGAATTCGAACCCCAATTGAAAGCTCCAAAACCCAACAACGAAGATTTGTTGCGTAGATGTCTGATCACGTGATACGCAAAATACCTTTCCTGCTTTCTGCGACAGAGCTGTTCGCAACCTCTCAATCGAATTAAGTTGACTCATTCCGAACCAATCCGCTTTCTTTCCCATCTCCATCGTCGTCAATGCAGAAAATATTCAAAAGCATGGTGACCGACGGTATCATAGGTAAACCTCCAATCGTTCACATGCAATTGCTGTCAGCTTTTTTTTTTTTTAAAAAAAAAGATCCATCTACAATCCTTCATTAAACAGGTAGCTAACAAAACTATCTTATATAGCGGTTAACAAACCCGCTGGTCGTACTTCCGCCCAAGTTCTACGGAATCTCCAAGTTACCTTCGGCAAATCCGAATTCTTCGCCGACCACCTCGAAGCACAGAAGGCATATTCCGACCACCAAGATCGTCGGCAGTCTACTACGAGACGATCCAGGAAGAATAGGAAGGGCGATACTCAAGTCAAATTGGGACATGGAGGGACATTAGATCCCATGGCCAGTATGTGGAATATATCCCTAGGTGTTACAGTTAAAACTTAAAGGAGGAAAATGAGGGGAAAGAGAATTTATAGCTAATACGTTGGTGTGGGGGAATTCTAGCTGGCGTATTAATCGTGGGAGTTGGAAAAGGTACAAAGCGGTTATCAAACTATCTCGACTGTACCAAGGAGTACGAAGCAGTTGCAATCTTCGGCATAAGTACGGACAGCTATGACAAAGAAGGCAAGATCACGGCGAGAAAACCTTACGGACATATCACAAAAGAGGCTGTAGAAGGCGTCCTAGACAAATTCAGAGGGGACATTTACCAGCGACCGCCGATGTAAGAGAGAGGCCATATACTGTCTGAAATGAAGACCCACGAGACTAATTGAGCTAATCTGATTTATAGGTTCTCAGCGTTAAATCTTAACGGGAAAAGACTATACGAATATGCCCGTGAAGGAATACCCATCCCCGTCGAAATCAAGAAACGACCGTGTACGATATCTTCCCTAGAAATTACAAAATTCGAGGCTGGAGACTCAGGACATGAATGGGCGTATCCTACGAGGGAAGCTTCAGAGGTAGAAAAGGCCGCAGCAAAGGCGTATCAGGAATTAGGTATGGGAGCGGATAAAGAGGAAGACCTAAAAAGCGGTATCGACCTTGGCCCCAACGCTGTGAGCGACGAGGAATTTGAGGCATCTGAAAAGAGGAAAGCGACAGCTGAGGCGGTTAAAACTGCAAGATTGGCGAAAAGAACGAAGAAGTATTATGATCAAAAGGACGGAATTGAAACTGCAACGGAAGAGAAGAAAGAAGCAGGAAGTGAGGGAGAAAGTGAGAAGGAACCAACGCCACCACCGCCACAGCCGATTTATCATGAAGAAGGCAAACCATCAGTCGTTCATCTAAAGATGACAGTGTCGCGTGGTACATACGTCCGATCCATTGCGCATGAGTAAGTTCATATGTGCCTAATTGTGCCCCGACACGCGGGAATTCACGAGCTAACTCGCGTTAAAACAGCATTGGTGAGGCGTTGGGTTCTGCAGCGACATTAGTCGCATTGACGAGATCGCGACAAGGCGAGTACGAGCTCGGGAAGAACGTGATTGCATGGGAGGATTTCAAGCCGGGTAACGACGCTTGGGTCGAACAAGTCAAAGAATCGCTGGCAAAGTCGCAGGAAGATGCGGACCAGTTCTAAGAGCCCGTTTATTATTTACCTTCCATATCGCATATAACCTGTACAATATTATTGGACCGCGCGAGTGTACGATACGAGAGAATCGAAGCTGGTGGAAGCCTGAATTCGAATTAATTGAATATTGGCGGTGACGTTTTACCGAAATTTGGGAAATTATGACATTCTGGCCTCAGTCGTGTTGCCAAAACTAAAGCGGACATAACCTCGAAACCTCGTCCGCTTCTTCCCCAACCTCATCCTCAACTTCATTTCCCATCATCTATCTTCTTTTCTCCTACCGGCATCCACTCAATTGGTACCCTACCGTCCTGTCCTTCACAATGCGCTTCCTCTCCGCCCTCCCGTTCGTCGCCTTGCTCACAGGTTCTGTTCTGGCTATTGACCCTCCAACCGGCAGCAAGCCCTCCGAAGAGCCTTATGCCATGAACACCAATGTTAAGGTGACCTTCCCAGACAATGACTCACCTCTAGGGATCACTGTCGTCAATGGCAAAGTCGCCCGTATCAATGTCGAAATTACCAACCAAGAGGCCTACCCAATAACGGTTCAGGCGGTGGGCGGTCAGCTCCGAAAGCACGACCGTTCAGTAATCCTTCGCAACTTGACGGTCTCCAAGCAAGGAACTGAGATTCCTGCCTCGGGTACCACGAACGTTCCGTACTCGTTTGTGCCAAATATGCACGCTCAGGATGTTGTCTTGGAGCTCGGTGTTCTGTTTTCGGTTGAGAAACACGGAAAGGCTGTGCAGTATACTGCTTTCAATAGCACTATCTCTGTTGCAGAACCACCAACTAGCTTGTTGGATCCTCAGATGTGAGTTATCCTTTTTTCTTTTCTTTTTTATATATATGTTTTTGGAAATTTTGTTCCACAAAACAGGATGTTGGAAGATAAGGACTTGTTTACTAATATGAACTGCAGCCTCTTCCTCTACGTCTTCATCCTCGGCCTCGTCTCTGCTGGTGGATACGTCGCCTACCAAACCTGGGTTGTCCCCATGCTCCCCAAGCCAAAGCGTGTTCGCCCAGTCGTCCCAGTCGAAGCGAAGACCACTTCTACAGATGTTAAGACCGGATTCGACGAGAGCTGGATCCCAGAACATCACTTGAAGCGACCAGCCGCCCAGAAGGTCCGAAGCGGTGGCACTCCAAAGCCAAAGGCAAAGTAAAGTGTAGGAGAGAAGAAGGAAAAAATATATTACTTCCTCAGTTTGGTGGAAGGCCTTAAACGGCCGTTGTAGATGAATTCTTTCATGGCGGGCAAGCTATTTTTTAGCGAAGATGCTTTTTTAAGTATGTATGTATAATTTATAGTTCCTATTTTGTATTTCTTTCTTTTGGTATTTCCCTTTGGATATTATGGATATATGGGAAACAAAAAGGAATAACAAAAAGCGAATTGATACGATGATTTTATGACGATGAAAGGCGGGTTCTATTTTGGTATATTAGCATGTGTATTACCCAATGGCATATACAACTTTGCATAATGATATAAGTATATAGTGCTGTAATATAATGTCTCGTTTCTTAGTTTTCTTCGTGGTTGGTTTGGCTTTCAAGTTGTAAAATAAACTACAAGATCTTAAGACGAGACGAAATGAGATATATAAAGAACTATTCTAAATATATGTTCGAATCTTAGTACAAGTAATACAGCCTCACTGAAATATTTAACATACTTCGAATAGGTATTTCAGAGATACATTAACTTCGAGATGCCATGAAGTGTCAACATGCTTGATATCGATATTGATATATCTTCTCTGCAAGGCCATTATTGTAGTTGCTGAACCCTACGTGGGTAAGGGATTTTCTCACCACCCGCCTGATACAAAATGCTAAGCCCTTCCGTGAACTCCGCAACCTCCCTCAAATCCCCAATAACCATAGCTTTATACCCGACCCCTTCCTCAGACCCTTCTACAATCGTCTCTGTTTCCCCGATCTCCTTGTTCCTGTCAAATAATATCCCGACCCCTCCAGCTTCATAGGCACCCACCACGTCCTCCTCCTTATTATCCCCAACATGATACCAATCCCACCCTTTCCGCGCCTCCTCGATCCCAAACTTCTCTATAACCGAATTCCTTGCCGCCTTCCTCGCCGTCTCAAAGATCTCCTTCTGCGGTTTCGCAGCCCCAATTTCACAACTGGTAACTAGAAAATCTACCACCTGATCCCCGCCTATAATTTCATTCTTCACATCCAAAGCCTCAAGCATCAAACTCTTCGACTCCGATGTTAAAACCCCAGCTTTCCTCAACGATTTGACAAGTTTACTCCCTTGCCTCCTCAACGAACTTTTCGTCTTTTTCTTTTTAAGTTCACCGTCTTGAGACATGGCTCGGTGGGTAATAGCAATACCCATCGAAGAGAGTACACTGGCTACCCTATTATCGGAATTGGAGATTACACCGATGGTTATAGTACGATACTTCCAATCCGCTTCACCCTCGCGGGTTCTGGTAGCCACGGCTTTGAGATCCTTGATGTTCCAAAGGAACGGGATGGTTCCGTTGAAGATTGAGTAGCCGGTATCGGTGGAGAAATGGGTCCACAGGGCTTCAGCGAGGTTTGTGGGGTATTTTGTGACGGTCGAAGTGGGGAGTAAAGGTTCGAATGTCCTTTTTGTTACTTCTTCCCACCATTTTCTTGGGTCCATGCCTTTGGTGTGATATCCGTAATTTGGATGTGATGTTGAAAGTTCCTTGAATGCTATATATATCATGATATCATCCCGCCCGATTTTTATATTAGTGATATCTCTACAAAATAACTTACTCTCATGTAAAAACATAATTACATATGTATGTATATAGGATGGATGGAATAAACAAAACAAGTAATTCATACCATCTTTAAAACTCCTAGCAACATCACCAGGATCCAACCCTTTCAATCCGCACTTCTCCGCAACGAGTGCATACTGCCGTCCTAAATCTCCATTCTTGATTTCATATAACGTCCCCAACGCATCCAGCGTAATCAACAAATTCGTCGGTTCTTTATCACCCTCCTCAGCCTCTTCTTCTTCCTTCCCTTCTTTCTTCACAGGTTCTTTCCCTCCTCCTTCTCCTTCTACCTTATTTACCTCCGGAAACTTCCTAAGGTTATCCCCCAAACTAGCCTGAAGGATTATATTCCGCAACACGTTATCATAGTCATCAGACTCGCCTTGATCTCCCTTGGAGAATAAAGGTTGGGAGATGTGGATTCTGCGGATTAGTAAGGGCTTATGGACCGCCAACCGACGACGGGCGCACGATGATATTGATGATGAGAGAGTCCGGGTTAGAAGAGTTCGTTGGAAGGGGTGCATTGTTGTTGATACTTTTGCATTTGCATGATCAATATAATATCGATCGATGGTATCTTTTTTTTCTCAGGATCAGGATATCAGAGAGGGAAGGATTTCGAGAGTTGGATTTTGAGGTGAAACTGTGTTGTTTTGATGGCTGGCTGAGCCCAGCCACTGGGCTTCGGTAGCTACTTCTGTATAAGACTATGTGAAACGGAGCGAAATTTCGAAACGAGATTCATGTTTTTATATACTTGGATAGTTGCTTCTACTTTCCTTATTTGATAAACTTCTAATTAGGCCTTCTTTTTTCTTCTATCTACATACCTTTGCTTGTTTATTGAAATCACTAAAAAATCGTATGAAGGAGAAACTTGAGGTTCATGCAATTCACCTTTTTTTTTCCGTTTTGAACAGGAAAAAAAGGTCGTATTTTTTTATTTCATTTCATTGAATTCAGGATATAGAAAGAAAAAAGAAACTCGTATCATATCTGCTTATGAATATTATTACATCGCTAAACATCATAATAAAAAAAATCAAGAAAGAAAGAAAAATAAAAAGAAAATAGAAAATCAAAGGTATCCCTTCGTCACATTACAATGTAAGTCCAAATCCTGCCGGCGCAACTGGAAGGGTACCAGCAGCCGGGAGGCCACCAGTAGCTGGAAGGTTACCGACAGGTGCACCGGTCACAGGCTGAACAGGAAGATTGCCAGCAGGTGCAGAAGTTACTGGTTGAACGGGAAGGTTACCAGCAGGTGCAGAAGCTACAGGATTAACTGGAAGCACCGGGTTCGCACCCACAGGTCCACTGGAAACCGGGGTAGTAGGAGTGGTCGGAGTGGTCGGAGTAGTAGGCGTGGTAGGAGTAGAAGGTCCACCAAGGTCCAAACCGGGGATACCGGTGAATTTACCTTCCTTGAAGTCCTTAAGAAGCTTATCCAATTGATTGGCATCCAAGTTTCCAAGCTGTTCGATAGCACCGGGTGTAGCCTTCAAGATATCAACGACGAGAACAGGAAGACCCAAAGATGGTAAGAATTGAAGAATCATCTCTGCTTTATCGACACCAGGGATCGTTGGGATTTTTCCGGCCTTCAATTCTTTAATCGTGGCGGATAACTGTCCACCCGGTAGATCTGTGATTTTGGTGATGAAACTATCCGGCGCGGCTTTGATCAAGTTCACCATGTTTTCCGGAACTCCCAAGTTCGGTAGAACTTGCATGATCAACTCCTTCGGTGAAACTCCAGGTAGGTTTGGGATCTTTCCGGACTTGAGGGAGTCAAGACTGTTCTTCAATTGACCGAGCGGTTGTTTAATCATCTGCTTCAGTAAGGGATCTGGAACGGCGCCGATAAGTTCAAGCATATCCTGTGGAACACCGAGAGTTCCCATGAGGTTTAGACCGATCTTCTTGATCAAGGATCGTCCGCTAAACGTGGCAGAGTGGGTGCCGAATTTTCCGGACTTGGCTTCGATAAGTTCATCCATGCCGGCTTCGTGGGCGGCAAGTCTGATCTCATCGTCGGAACCTGTGGCGAGCTGCTGGAGGGCACTAAGTTGTTCGATTTCATGATTGTTTTGTCGACTGTATAATCGAGAACCGTATGGAGCGGCGAGGGTTGTGGCCGTGAGGAGGAGGGAAGTGAAGAGGATTGATACTCTCATTTTGACAGATTATTTTATATTAAAACAACTGAAGGACCGGCCTTGAAAGAAGGAGAAGAATGAAAAATAAAAAATAAAAATATTAAATAAATTTGCTGATGAAAGAATTGAAAATCGATAAAAAAATGATGTATCGACCTGGACCAGCCAGTATAGCAAAAAAAAGAATTGAAAACTGAAAGGAATGCTGTGGTGGTGGAGGAAGAAAGAAAAGATTCTCGAACCTGTCAGCTATCAACCTCACCTCACCACCGGAATCATTCTGCTTTTTATATATCCAACCTTCCCATAGCCGTGAAAATGTATATTTATCAGAATCTGTCTCTTCCTAATACTGCGGAGTGTCACGGTGTGATAATGTCTGGTGTTGCGGATGAAACAGCCTGCCAAGCACTGTCATCTAGCCGCAAAGAGGCACACCAAGCCGTTTTAGCTACTGTTCGCAAGGAACCGTTGCACCTTTATGTCTTAGCGGGCTGCAGGAAGATACTGGTCAAACCGCTGCCTCAGAAGTCTGTGGTGGCTGTGATTGCTTGATGCTTGGTGAAAAGGTACGCAAATTTGGGGAACATTAACCTTGCACAGATCTTGTCAAGGGAGAAAACAAATCACAGCTTGAAGCTTTGCGGGTATCGAATCGATGTCATGGACAGCTCATTAATATAGATCTCATATGTCTATCATACCACGCTCTTACTCTTGGGAGTATCATACTTATCTTACATCGACAATCTTTGTCCTACCAATGGTAAAATCAGACTAACTTGCTGATATCAGGTGTCACGACGAACTTCCCTTTTAGTTGTCCCATTCCCCATGCTCTCCCCTTCGGTTTCCCTCTCTCATCTAACGCTCCACTGTCCTTCTGCAGAACCACGATGTCTTGCAAAAAGTCGCATTCGACTCCTCTCTGAACTTCAAACTCTATCCCGCCAAACACCATAGTAACTCTGCCCGACCTGTGAACATTTAATTTTCCAGCTGTACCAGGCGGTAGCTGCGCTTTCTGAACATCTGCAAGGCTGGTATATTTTGGTTTGGGCTTTTCTTCCTTTTTGATAGCCGGCTGATTGGATGAGCTAGCGGCGGCCGGTGCCGTGGAATCTTCTTCCTTGACCTGGGCCTCTGCATCTTCAACATCTTCGACAGGTTCCATAAGTGGTAAGACAGGCGGGAATTGGAATAAGTATAGTTTGTTCTGTTTCTCGTCCGGTCGGGGTTCGGGAGGTATCATGGCGGCATCATCCTGTCAAATCCACTAGTTAGCGAGGCCCTTCCCGAAAATGTTGGTGAGAACTTGGGGAGTATACCATATCATGGTCTCCCTCGGCATCCACACCCCTTTCTGGCAGCGCTGGACCCAGTTCATTTAACATAGAGAATCGATCAACTTCGTATCTATCGATCTCTTCGAAATCCTCCTGCGACTGAGGAACAATTATGTCCTTCTTGCGGTTCCCAGATCTCGACCTAGCCACCTGCTTCCGCCGTCTATCTTCAGGGGAGCTTGATTGTTTCTTCTTAATCTGTTCTGGAGACCTGGTAGTCCGTCTAGTAGCTTTCGGTGATTCTGACGGTTCAATTTTGACTAAAATCCGGCCCCGTATTAGTAAACCTTCCCTGAGCCTTTTTTTGATCCTTGACTAAGATTGATAACCTACCCCGCGGTCCTGTCCCCGAATCCCTCCTCCCAGATCTCGCTTTCCTCTCCTCCAAGATCTCCAAATCAACCTCTTTACCCTTCCCTTTGACGTCTTTCTTTCCCTTTTCTTCCTTCCCCCCACCTTGCTGCGCCGACTTATCAACGTGCTCCCTTCTCTCAATCCTAACCGGTGCGAACCCTCGAACAGATGAATATTTCTTCTCCCCACCTTCTCCATCCTCCTCTTCATCGCTGCTAATCATCTCAATCATCTCCACATCGACCTTCGGCCCACCCTCCGAGTCCGATGACGAATAGGGCTCATCTTTGATCTCTCCGTCTTCCCCGATTTCGCGTTTAGTCTTCAATCCACTCACTCGATTAGTTCGGAAGGATCGTGAAAGGCGTTCTATCGAAACCTTCTGTTTTCCGCCCACTATAGTAGTAGTAGTAATAGTAATTCACAACAAATGATCAGTTCCATCGTTTCTATTATAAAGTTTGCAAGGGGATTGATTTGTGATAAAATGATAATCTTGGGGAATTTATGATGGGGAGATTCCTTACTAGTAATCACACTACCCATGGAAAACGGTCCCGAAGCAACAGCGACCTCTTCCCGCTTCGGTCCACCATCACCTCTACCGAATCCACCTCTACCCCGTCCTCTACCCCTAGCACCACGCCCAGAAGGTCCACCACGTGTAACTCCGAATGCATTAAGAGAATCACCCTGTGGTGGAGGATCATATTGCCGGTTTAATTGTTCTCGTTCCCTGCACACCACATCATACCCTGTCAGTCAATCTTCTTCATCCCATTAATCCCAACAAGAAAAGAAAGAAAAAACCATCACACCCGCCAGCCGCTCCCAAGAGAAAAAAAAACAGGGGGGAGATAAATCATACTCTTTAGTTTTCCTTATTGTATTCTTCGGTGCAAATTTTAATTTCGGTTTCGGTCGTTCTCCTGGTGCGAGGACGGGCGGTTGGACGGTTGCTGTGGATCCGGAAGCCTCGGCTACTGTAGAAACGGTGGTGGCCCTTGTTGAACGGAGATTTGGAGCGGCAGGGTTATTTAAACCTTCGAGGCGGCCGGAAGGGGGCGGGATGGCGAGCGGAGTGGATTCAATGGGTTCTGAGGGTACTGATGCGGATGATTCAGCTGCTGTCAAAGATGGTTCGAATTCCTCTTGCTTATGAGAATCTTCTGCAGCGGTAGAAGAAGAAGCAGCGGCAGCTCCCCCACGTGGCTTCGGAGGCCGTCTAGGCTTTGGCGGCATCTTTCGAGATTCGGCAGAGGAGCTGTGGTGGTGATGGTGGTGATGATGGTGGTGGTGGTAGTGGTCGGAGTGGCTGCGGTGGGGAACGGGAGGGTTCTCTGCTCTGCTATGGTAGCAAGGGAAACCCGAATGACTGGAAAAATTATTATATTGGAAGAAGCAATTATGCATGAAAACAGGCCAAGCTTTTGGTAGCGTGCCCTCGCTTACGCCGCCAAGCGAGCTGCTATATTTAGACGTCAACCGCAACACATAACGGCCTGGACAGGGCTGTTCCGGCCTCGTTCGCCGTCAATCGAACCACCACCGTCAGGCTGGTGGGCGCAGGGTGGGCGCTTAGCTGGTGTGTCTGGTCCTTTACATGTACATGGGCTAATCCGGGGTAGATGCAGGGGCTGGTGCTTAAGGCGATCAAGATCTTGCTTCTTGCTGCTGTCGCTGTTGCTGCTGCTGACTTAACATTCCTGGGCGGCTGGTGCAGGTCAAGAGACTATCGGTGGCAATTGATTCGATTCTGATACATTTGTACAACTGTTTCCGATTGCGATCTCAGATCTGATCTGATGCGACATCTGACCATACATGATTGGTCGTTTTCTACTTCACGTCGGAGATATTATCTGGACTCCAGCAAGGATGCATTTTTTATTGTGTTATACACTTATTGATATTTGTATTCTTTCCATTCCCCTTACTTAGGTACACGGAAGCAGCTTAGCGGGTGCTCGAGGTATTCTTCAGCCCCCTCCCCTCTCAGCCCCTATTGTGGAGAGATAAAAAAATAGGCAAGCGAAAAAAAAAAAAAAAAAAAAAAAGATAGAGTACTCAGATCAGTAGCAACAGCAGGCAGCAGCAGAGAGGAAGAATATGGCTGCGTATGTAGTACAGCCCTTGAATTGAAAAAAAGCACCCCTTGGATAGAATGGACTATCATGCAGGGTCACCTTTATTTCTGACTGTTATATTGTTGTTTGTATGTAGGGGAGATGGATAGTAAAGCGGTGATCAAATCAACAAAAACAAAAAAAGGGACGCAGAAAAAAACCTAGCAATGAAATCAAATAACTCCGAAACCATATTTTCAAAAGAAGGATAAGGAAAGGCCAAACCGGAAATGTGATCGAAGAGGAAATAGGGAAAATACAATCAAAACCGATGACCGAAAGGAAATGGAGGAGGAGGAAGAGGAGCCCCAGACAAAAGAAAGTTATAATTGAGGAACCCATAGGAAATGAAGAAAACGAGGGGAAAACACCGGAGGGAATACAGACACTAGAGTTAATACATGGATATATCCCACATCAAAGCGGAAAGGAGCAGGGACAGGGAGGGAAGAACAAGAAAAAAGAAGAGAAAAAAAATCTCGCAATCATGAATATTTTGCCGACTGAACCTGATATGCACCGACGCGATGAACTAAACAGTAAAGCAACAAAAGATAAAGATAAAAAAGGAAAAGGATAATACAGGGTTAGGACTTTACAGGGTTTGCAAAAGGAGGTTCAGGATGAAAGATATCGGGGGCGAGAAGCGAGTTTCGTAATGGCCGTCGTGTTTATAAGTCTATATGTGATTGTTGTTTTTTGAGAGTCGTAAAAAGAGGAATGAGGTGAGTGTTTGCAAACATTGGCGTCGTAGGTCGGGTTGGCGATGACCGTGGTGAGGGAAAGCTGAAAAAGGTGGCGAACTATAGGAACTAGGTGTACAAGATATACAAAGCGAAAGGAAACTTTAAAAACCATTCCAGGTGCTTTTGTTGAGAAAAGATATCCGAATCCGATGTTGGATGGGGAAAAGAACTGAAAGGTGGCCGGTAGCGGAGGATATATGAGGGGGGGGGCCGGTCCGCTTAGATCTGCTCGGGTGTGACCTTGCGCTTCTTTGGTTTGGGAGCCTTTGGTTTCATGATACCGTTGGCAGCGGCAGCCTTTGCGGCATTCATGCGACCACGGCGAGTACCAGCTTCATCCTCGCTAATACACTGATCGGCTGGGATTCCAGCATCCTTGCACCGTTGGCAAGGGCGTTGACGGTCGCAGCCCTTCTTCGACTTGCGGCATCGTTGGCATCGCGGCTTTTGGTTTTCCTGGGGTTCAGGTGGGAGCATAACACCCTGTTGGATATACTTCCCTTCAGGGTTTGCGAGATTGGCAAGGGATGTGGCTGCTTCCAAACCGTTGAAGCTTGTATCTGCCGATGGATATCCCGGGAAAGCGTTGAGTTGCGGAGCAGGGATGAGATTGTTGGTAGGCTTCTTAATCTTCTTAGGCTTGGAGGGTGCCTTCTTCCTCACACCGTTGGGAGGTGGGGGGGCCTGACGATTAGGAGCAAAGTGTGACCTCTTATGGAGCAGAGGGATTTCATCGTCTTCATCCTGGTAGTCGTCGGATGCGACATAGTTACCATCGCGAACATCGTCCTCAGCTTCTTCATAAGTAAGGGTTCTGCTATATCCGACTCTGACAGGGCTGGTGTGTTGGCTGTAGCCGTGAGAAACAGGACTTGGGAGCAGGGTGTGTGTTGGTTGGCCGTTGTAGTCAAGATCGGGGGAGTACTGATGACGAAATTGGTGATGGTGGTGAGAGTGGCCATTATTGGTCGGCTTCTCCCCCAAGCGCATCAATTGAATAGCAGCGTCTTCATCAGAGATACAGGAAGCGATTGTGGGAGCGGGAGTTGGTAATGTGACCCTAGTATTCGTGGTCGCGCTCGGGGGAGGAGTAGGTTCAGTACCAAGGGAGTAAAGGTAGGCAGATTGAGGGTGAGCATATGCGGTTTGATGACCAGGCTGAGAGTAAGGGGTTAATTGAGGAGTCGGCCTTGATGGACTCGCAGACGACGAAGATGGAGCACCGAATCTATTCGTCATCTCAGGGAAGAGAGGAAGTTCCTGTGTTGCCTATTAGAAATGCGAAATTTTTTTTAAAAAAAAATATAGAAATTTTTGATAAGATGAGGAAACAAAGGACATACGGAGCTCTCAAACTTTAATCGCTTTCTCCTAGATCCCTCGAGGATGTTCTCAACGGAGATTTCGGCACTGGCGACTGGTTCAATTTGTTTCCTCAGATCTGCATCAGGAGTCGGAGTACTTGATGCATGCCTCTTGTTACTCCTTGACCTAGACATAGCTGCAGAACCGCCGCGAGATTTGTTAGGACTCGTTCCTCGGCTATCACGGGTGATGTGTAGAGCCTCTCCCAAAGGTCTGACGAAGATGTTTTGATTCTCTCTGACATTGTTATAAGAGAGAATGATACGGTTTTCATTCTCATCCTCGAACGAGACACGATGGGACGACACAGCAGTCGGGCCATTGGAAAATAAACCGAAGAAGGAGGTGATGGCAGTTGTGATGGATTCGGTTGTATCGTGAGTATTGATGGTGAATTTAACGTTAGGAAGGTTGCTCAGGTCGCTGGTGAGCTCAGCGGGGTCGGTAATGAGGGTGAAGTTGACGTGTTTCGGCATATTGTGTGGATGAGAAGGAGCCACTAAGGTTGCTCCAGCGTGAGCAATAGGGGTGGAATTGGAGATCTGATCGGTCAAGATGGCTTGGAGATTCATGATGCCCAAGGAAATATGATTAAGGGATTATAGATGCGATCGGTAGAGTGACTGTTTAATAATAGGATTCGTTAGATATATATAACGTTACAACCGAAGGATATCAGGGGGGCTCGGGGGGGAAAAAAGAGAATATGAATGGAAAAAAAAGTACCTTAAAATCTATCCCAGAGCAGATACTGGGACCCGGATTAAGACGGAATAGAAGCTGAAGAAACCGGAGGATCACGCTAATGGTGACCTTTGAGGGCCGGGAAGGCTGTTATAATGAACTGCATCCGCGATGAGCAAAGAGGACCCCAAAAATTCGAGACAATAAAAAAGAACAACGGAAAATCCAGGCAGGAAGGGCCGAGAGGACACGGAGAAATGGAGAGCGAGATGCAGAGAGAGAGATAGAGAGATAGAAGCGAAATAAAAGCAGGATGAAAATGTACTGAAGATGGATGATTATTCTGATGAGTGTTGGATTTAATGGGACATACCAGCCAGGTCGGGTGTTTCGCTGTCCAAGGAATGGAGAGTAGGAGATAAGTGGTCGACGCTCAGAACAGGGAGCGAGAGCCGACGGGTGGAGAAGAGCCAGAAATCGGGGATGAAGATTGGCAAGAGATGAAAGAGAAAAAAAGGCTCGATGCCAGCGCGAGCGGATACGAAGGCAGGATGAGCAGCAGGCTGTGCCGGACGCGATAGGATGGGAGTATGGATGGATGGAAGGGGGGATGGATGAGTGCGCTGTTGGTTGGTTATATTCTCAAGCCAACAGCAGCAGCAGCAGTAGCAGTAGTAGCGACAAGTTCAACAGCCTCGAAAAGGTGACGAAGATTGGAAGACCGGATGGACGGATATGGACAGATTCCCGACAGACGAGAGAAAGAAGATATATAGACCTTCTGCGACAACAGATAGATGGGGTGTCAGTGCCTCAAGATTGAGGGTTTTAGATGTGTGAAGATTGATGGTGATGATGGGAGGATGGATGGGAGGATGGAAGGGTGAGGTTGGTTGGCTGGTTGGTTGGTTGGAAGAGTGTGTGTGAGAGAGTTGAGAGTTGAGAGTTGAGAGTTGAGGGAGAGAGCAAGAGCGAGGGAGAGCGAGGGAATGAAAGTGTGTGTGTGTGTGCGCATGCAGAAACAGCAAGTTTGAAAGGGAAGGATCGGACGACGTTGGAATCAGAGTAAAAAATAAAATAAAATACGAATCGCCAGAAGAACAATGAATGAAGATGAAGAAGTATATAAACTACCTAGTAGATAATGTTCACTCACAAGGAAAGGGTATAGTATAGGATAAGATAGTGTATTTGTCTTGGTCAAAAGGACAGACAATATAGAATATAAGCGGTTTGATAGCTATATCCTTCCACTCTTCGTAATCCAGTCCCTTGAAGAAGGAAAATAGTAGAATAGAATAAAAAAGATGATGATGATTATGATGATGATGATGATGATCCTAGTGATAAAGAAGAGGAGAAGGAGAAGGAGGAGAAGAAGAAGAAGGAGGCCTGGTTCGGGAAGGGAAGGGGGGAGAGGAGTGAGAAGTGACTGAGTACAGCGCAGTGACTGAATGAGGGGACCCGCCAACAAGCACAAGCACGAGCACAAGCACAAGCGCAAAACAGTCCAAGATCCGAATCGAATCAATCGGCTACGACCAGAAAGAGAGGGATAAAGAAAGAAAGAAAGAAAGAAAGAAAGAAAGAAAGAAAAGAAAGAAAGAAAGAAAAGAAAGAAAGAAAAGGCGACGGCTTTGTGCGGCAGTCGGTCTGCTACTTACAATTGGAGCGTCTCGACGACGAATATTCAATCGCGAAGGTAAATAATTTGCGATTTGATGTTAATTTGATCGAATCATAATTCCGAGACAGATGATAATAATATTTAGATAGATAGACAGGTAGACAGATAGATAGATAGATAGCGACAATGATGAATATCAGGTATGAAGTCTGTCGGGGAAAGAGAAGATAGAGTATAGTATCGTATAGTACCGTATAGATTAAGTGTGTGTGGAGTAAGCTAGTGTGATTAACTGTCTGTTTCGATTGCGAATTAATTGATCTGGATTGTGGACGAAACAACCAAGCAAGCAAGCAAGCAAGCAAGCAAGCAAGCAAGCCGGTTAACTTAAAACTAGCTTTACTCGAGTAAGAAGTACTTGCGAGTATAGACAGACCTAGCTACTTACTTACTTAAGTAGACAAGACGTACTTACAAGAAGAATAGAAGAATAGAAGAGATATCTAGATTGATTACTTATATATCATATCATATTTGACCCGTCGCTGCTCGAATCGCAACTTGCGCACATGTTCACAACCGGTCGCTGTACTCCTGGGAATCCATTCATGCTTCTATTTAAGACTCACGATCACTCGCTGACCTTTAATTCCAACCGTCAACCCCGTAGATCTAGATGGCGATATCATTTGTCTGCCATGCCATGCTCTTTCCCCCCTCCCCCAAAAAGAAAATCAAAAAGGGCCCAGAATTCAAGCTCCGCATTTGCCGGGTACATGCTCACATAGTCCCAAGATGGTTAATCCACCCTTCTGGCTGGCTTCTTGCCTCGATCTCATACTTAAAAGTACTTCCACTCTTCGACGGGCATTGGCTCTTGTCGATTATGGGTGCACATATGTGTGTCCTCTCTCCTGCGTTCAGATATCGCCCCAGGCGTCGGTCCCAATCCCGGACCTGATTGGCCGGTTCGATGCTGCATCCACAACTTGCTTCAGTCGCAGTCATGCATGAGAAATACATAAACAAAACGAGGGCCCCGGTCGACTCTCCACTAGTCGAACACTCTTTTTTTTATTTATTATTATTTTTGTTACTCGAATCGGTACTTTTACTTCTATCTTACTTGGGTAATTAAGAAGTAAACATTTATATGTACTATTATGTACATTCATCATATTGTTTTGCCGCTCTTTACCGTCGGCGGAGGTGGAGATGGTATCACTAGTTCAAGATATCATATTAAAATATAATTAACCAAGATATCATTGTTAATGCGCAATTCCATGACGAAGATACTACGGATTAAGAGCCTGTTAGCATGTTATTTCAGATATAACGTCAATGCTAACCGGTATTGATGTTAATATATTGTGGATCAGATCCCCACCGCTTAGCTGGCTATTAATATTAAGAGGTTATTGCTATGAGTATTAGTATTAGTATTAGTAGTAGTATACTGTCACTACTCGACTCTATTGTATTGCGCATCATCATCATCACCATCCATTAACCCTGCCCTCTTTCCCCCTTCCTCTTGTTTTTCTTTATTTTCACCATCCACATTCCAACTTCCATTTTATCATATTTTTTTCTTCTGTCGCCTTCGATTTCGAAATGCGCTCGCTAGGTTTAAATTTCCAGGCAGGGCCTGACATGATCGCACACACACACACACACACACACAAAGTAGCTACAATTGCAAACTAAACTAAACCGATGACAGAACTGACGGAACAGAAAAAACAAAAAAAAACAAAAACAGCTCAGTTCCCGCTTGTCGCAAAAACTCTCACTCGATTTTCGCCGCCGCCGGTTCCAATTTCGTCGTTCACCGGCCGAAAGGCGATTGATTGTGTTTAAAATATTTTTTACAATTTGTGATTTCAATCAATCAATCAATCAATCAATCAATCTGTTGGGCCCGGCAATTCAGCAATTCAGATTGACACAAAGTACTTACTACGTACATCGTATGATGATAATGATACATCGTACAGCACTTGCACTAGCTCCGAAGCCTGGGTCTTGGGCTACCTGTCCAACTGGCCAACCTACCTCCAGATATCATATCACCTGCAGATGTGCGATTTTCAAACCCATCGAATGTTGTACATACATACATACATACACCAAGTATCGTAGTGCATATATAGTATACGCTCGCAGCAGCAACAGCAGCAGCCTCGTAGGTAGTAGTGGTGGAATTAGTGATGTCGCATGGCTTCGGTGCTGACAGGCGTCATCAAGCGCTCGTTTTTGCTCCTTCCACACCCTCTCAAAACCTCGCTCGGAAAGAACAAAAAAGAAAATATAACCTGAATCAAAAGGAATCCGGCGGTATCTCCAGGCGTGACTTAATTGACCTTATTATCTGCGCCGTGCCGCCGTATATAATTATAAACTTTCTCATGAGCTTAGGCTTTTGCGAACGGCTGGCGCTGCACTGGAAGGAAAAGGAAAAATCGCTCTCATGATCGATATAATATCATGATCGCAAGATTCGATCTCCTCTTCTCTCTCCCCTCCCTTTTCCTTTCCCTTTCCCTTTCCTCTCTCTCCCTCCCGTCTACAATTGTACAAACCCGGTCTCTTGAATATTTTCTCCCCCTTCTGCTCCCTATTTTTTTTCGTGTGTGCGAACCTTGCGCCGCCTAGCTAGCATATTTTCATCCTTTCGGTCGCATTCGATGCATGTGCGCATTCCTCGTCGAAAACGCTGCTGAACAGAGTAGGTGCACCACCATCACCCATGCTTTCTTTTTAGCGGCGGTATGTAAGTAAATTATACAATACAATACACATAGTACATACATACACATATACGTACATACATGCGAAATCCTGCTGTTCCCATATCCAAGGCTGATAATGCCAATTGCCAATTGGCAGTGTCGGCAAAGGCCAGGATCGATATCCCGAGGTCTTAGCTCGTCACAGTGAAGGTCTGGTCTGGTCTGGTCTGGCCTGACCGGCTCGCTCCAGCTGTTATCGTTGACGGCTTATTTCTCGTCAAAACTCTCTTTCCTTTCCTTTCTTCAAACCCTCAGGAATTTTTCTTGGAACAAGGAAAGGGAGAGAAAGTAGAAGAAGAAAGGAAGAAGAAAAAAATACCGAGCTCTTGATCCCGCGCCCCCCCCCGTCCTCGTCGTCGCACTGTGGCTTGTTAAGTTAACTTGGAAGAAACGTTAACGTTAACGTCCATGGCCATGGCATCGACGCTGGCCAGGTCAGGTTTCTTGTGTACTATAACCCCCCCCC